AGCAAAAACTCAAAAACAGATTGATCACCTCTTACAAACCCATGGATCATATTTAGTTTAACAAAATCATCTTATACTATAAAATATTTAGTGTCTGTATAATTGTATGGATTGTTTTGTGGAGAGCTTGATTAATCAGCCCAATAAGAGACTAATAACTTAAACTCTTCCATTTTATTATATAAATGAAATGTGTAATTAAAAGGGGGGAAATATGGTCCAAGATCAGGTTTAAATCACATGCTGACACTCGTTCATTGGTTCACAGTGATCATCGCCCCTTAGTTTGATATACACTCTGAATTACATGACAAGGTTTCGAAGCGTCACAAAGCGCCCATCGCTGCTCTGGATGTTTGATGACATGAGTGTTGTTTCTCTTCAGATCCTCTAGAGGAGGCTGTTAGTGCATCTTCACAGTCCATTTCCAATTCTGCTGCTGAACTCTTGAAACAAGGAGCAGGTGAGTCCAAAACAACATTCAGGACAATAACTGAGCGATGCCCACATGGATGTTGGACAGATGACTGCTAAGGTCTTGCTTGTGTGCCGTGTGTTCTCCAGCCTGTAACGTGTGGTTTCTGGGCTCGGTGGAGATGGAGTCTCTGACGGGTTATCAGGCGGTGCAGAAGGCCACCAGTGAGATCCTGAACGCGCACTCGCTCCCGTCCTCCACCGTAGTGCACTTTAAAGTGTCCTCGCAGGGAATCACACTCACCGACAACCGGAGAAAGTAACTCACTCTTACCTTACCTCAAACATTACCTTGCATTCATTCATTTTATTCAAAGCGACTTGATTCAAGCTACAGTGATTTATCCTCACATTATCAGGTTATTCGCTTTGGTCTATAAAATAGCTATAAATATGAGCAGAACTCAGGTCTCAGATCAGTGGATATTTCCTTCTGTTGGACTCTCACACATGAGTTATGTTGAATATCTGTCAGCTGGTAAATTTAACTACACAAAGTTTAGCTCAACCGGTGACCAAGCAATGCTTCATGTTGTTCAGTGATGAAACCTGTTGTCTTTCTAGACTGTTCTTCAGAAGACACTATGCGGTCGGCACAGTCATATTCTGTGCTCTGGACCCTCAGGACCGGAAGTGAGTCCATTCTGCTCCATCACATCATTTACAGCGATCTTACGGAAAAAAAATCTACTCTGTTTTTCTGAATTAATGAGTTAATTTTTCATGAGTAAAAAAATTGCTCTGTTTTTCTGAATTAACGAGTTAATTTTTCATGAGAAATTTTTTTTTGCTCTGTTTTTCTGAATTAACGAGTTAATTTTTAATGGAATTTTTTTTTTGCTCTGTTTTTCTGAATTAACTCATTAATTCAGAAAAACAGCAAAAATATATTTTCTCATGAAAAATTAACTCATTAATTCAGAAAAACAGCAATTTTTTTCTCGTGAAAAATTAACTCATTAATTCAGAAAAACAGAGCAAAAACTTTTTTTTTCTCATGAAAAATTAACTCATTAATTCAGAAAAACAGCAATTTTTTTCTCATGAAAAATTAACTCATTAATTCAGAAAAACAGAGCAAATTTTTTTCTCATTAAAAATTAACTCATTAATTCAGAAAAACAGAGCAAAAACTTTTTTCTCATGAAAAATTAACTCATTAATTCAGAAAAACAGAGCATTTTTTTTTCTCATGAAAAATTAACTCATTAATTCAGAAAAACAGAGCAAATAAATTTTCTCATGAAAAATTAACTCATTAATTCAGAAAAACAGAGCAAAAACTTTTTTCTCATGAAAAATTAACTCATTAATTCAGAAAAACAGAGCAATTTTTTTTTCTCATGAAAAATTAACTCGTTAATTCAGAAAAACAGAGTACATTTTTTTTTCTCATGAAAAATTAACTCATTAATTCAGAAAAACAGAGCAATTTTTTTTTCTCATGAAAAATTAACTCGTTAATTCAGAAAAACAGAGTAGATTTTTTTTTCTCATGAAAAATTAACTCATTAATTCAGAAAAACAGAGCAATTTTTTTTTCTCATGAAAAATTAACTCGTTAATTCAGAAAAACAGAGTAGATTTTTTTTTCTCATGAAAAATTAACTCATTAATTCAGAAAAACAGAGCAATTTTTTTTTCTCATGAAAAATTAACTCGTTAATTCAGAAAAACAGAGTAGATTTTTTTTTCTCATGAAAAATTAACTCATTAATTCAGAAAAACAGAGCATTTTTTTTTCTCATGAAAAATTAACTCATTAATTCAGAAAAACAGAGCAAATAAATTTTCTCATGAAAAATTAACTCATTAAATCAGAAAAACAGAGGAAAAAAAATTTTCTCATGAAAAATTAACTCATTAATTCAGAAAAACAGAGCAATTTTTTTTTCTCATGAAAAATTAACTCGTTAATTCAGAAAAACAGAGTAGATTTTTTTTTCTCATGAAAAATTAACTCATTAATTCAGAAAAACAGAGCAATTTTTTTTTCTCATGAAAAATTAACTCGTTAATTCAGAAAAACAGAGTAGATTTTTTTTTCTCATGAAAAATTAACTCATTAATTCAGAAAAACAGAGCAATTTTTTTTTCTCATGAAAAATTAACTCGTTAATTCAGAAAAACAGAGTAGATTTTTTTTTCTCATGAAAAATTAACTCATTAATTCAGAAAAACAGAGCAATTTTTTTTTCTCATGAAAAATTAACTCATTAATTCAGAAAAACAGAGCAATTTTTTTTCTCATGAAAAATTAACTCATTAAATCAGAAAAACAGAGCAAATAAATTTTCTCATGAAAAATTAACTCATTAATTCAGAAAAACAGAGCAATTTTTTTTTCTCATGAAAAATTAACCCATTAATTCAGAAAAACAGAGTAGATTTTTTTTTCTTCAAGTGAATGCAATACGCCTCCGTACGATCTTGAGCGTCTATGGGCGTTTTCATGTTTCTCCGTGTTCATCCACAGGTGGAGACGAGACGGCTGCAGCTCAGCGAAGTGAGTACGACGGTGTTTGGGGTGTAACTCATTCATCATGTGAACAGGAGTAACAGCTCTTCCCTCCCCGGCAGGATCTTTGGCTTCGTGGCTCGTAAAGCGGGCAGCGGCATGGAGAACGTGTGTCACCTGTTCGCGGAGCACGACCCCGAGCAGCCCGCCAGCGCCATCGTCAACTTCGTCTCCAGAGTCATGATTGGCTCACAGAAGGTGTGACGTCACGAAGAGGGCGTGGCCTGCCGAGATTTCCTCCAATGAGCTGAAATGGACTGATCACATGACTAACCTTCTGAAATGAAACATGTACATTGTTCTGTATATTTTTGTATTGAAAGTGTATGTATCGTGGGGACAGATTCAAAGGAATTAAATAAATCTCAATATATATGTATGAACTTTTTAAAATTATTTTTTAGTTTTCTGTGATTTAATGTATTCTACCACTGATGACATAAACCAAAAGCGTCTTTATAATGTCATTGCGTTTAAGATGTCTATATATTTAGTATGTCATCTTGCAAATCTCCATTTGCCAAGTTTTTCTAGAGAAAAAAAAATCTGAATTGTTTATACTTCATGTTATGCATATGAAATATTGTGTAATGTCTTGACAGAATCAGTCCTCACGTCTCCTGCAGGTTGTGGTTGTGAACTTGTGTATCTTATCTTTTCTTCTTAGATGCTGTTTTTATATAAAGTGATAGTATTGGTGAAGAAGAGACGGCTGTCACGTACTTCGGTTATGTGATGTACAGTAATTTGATGAGAATTGGGCTTTGGTGCTTCTGTGGTTTAATGGATCCTCAGATAACACAGAACTGAGCCGCTGTCACATCTACAGCCTTTTATGCATTAATGTAACGACTACATTTACAGTCTACAGTGAGACACAAACTACTTTTAAGAGCTCTGATTGTTTATGCTTGGATCTTGTTGAAGTCACTGGTGATTTTCACAACGACACACACTCAATCTCTGAATACTGAACAGAAAAAAATTAAAGATTTGTGTTTTATTTTCAAGTTCTCAGTACTGAATGTGTAATTCATGTTCATCTGTGTCCTTCAACCCGTAAAAATGAAGAGTACAGACAGAAACTGTTATGTTTTGATTCATTTTCAGATTGCAGACATTTGTCTGCTCATCTGTGCTGTTTCTGTAATCACAGGATTGTGTTATGGCAAAAATCCTGTTAAACATCATCACTGCGTTTAGAGACACTCTGAGCCAAATTAATAAAGAGAAGTATTTATTATTGTACTGTGCAAGAGAGTGACACAACAGGAGATATGAGACAGCCTTTATAGCGGATGTTTGATGACATGCGTGTTGTTTCTCTTCCGATCCTCTAGAGGAGGCTGTTAGTGCATCTTCACAGTCCATTTCCAATTCTGCTGCTGAACTCTTGAAACAAGGAGCAGGTGAGTCCAAAACAACATTCAGGACAATAACTGAGCGATGCCCACATGGATCAGTGAGATGACTGGTAAGGTCTTGCTTGTGTGCCGTGTGTTCTCCAGCCTGTAACGTGTGGTAACGGACTGGACATAGACGCCCTCAAAAAAAGTGCATTGCTTCATAAATTATTGTATCTATAAGCAGACTGATCTCATGAAGTAGCGTGTGTATGACACCAAGTCGTATTTCCATTTTTGGCGTGCTGTCAACACACATAATCGCTTTTCAGCGTGTTTATAAACACCGTTGACTTAACGTTATTACTGTATATATAAATATATGACTTCCCTCAACCCCGTCCCTAAACCGTCACTGGGGTTAATGGCATTTACGACTGTTCCCTCACCATCCAAGGAAAGAAAAATATCACTCCCCAGATGTAGATCTACATTTTGCTTCGTTTCGCTCAGACATTTGACTGCGTGTACAGACACGCGGAATCACTTGGACATTAATGGCGTAGACATACACGCATGCGCGTTAACCACCCCAGAACCTTTTTTTAAAGAGTGTAACCTACAACTACACACAGGTATACACAATAATAAGCAGAGAACAAATGTCACATCCAGTTAGGCTTTATTATTGTGATAATGACCATCTGACTTTACAGATTTACATCAGAAAACTGTTGTACGACATGGTTTGGTAGTTTATTATAATATGAATAATTACAACACATTTGATCTTGCGGTTCTTCTCGTCTTACAGCTGATTTAGTTGATCTGTGTGAGTTTTGGGTTGAGGTCACGTCACCTCAATCACAGCAGAGCATGATGACGTCATTGAGAGCGGTGTCGTCTCCACTTCCCTGTGGGTCTTCCACCCGTGTCTTGAGGCCACAGATTCCTTTTCCTGGACACGTCGGGCTCCAGTCGCCCCAGTTGCCCCAGTCGCCCACGCGGCTCGGAAAGGTACTCCACAGCTCATCACCTCCACTGCACCTAAAACTGGAACATTCAGATGGACAATATTGAGAAACGTTACTGTGCCGTCACATGATCACCTACAGCAGCACGACTGCCAATCTGATCTTCACTAAACTACTGATAGGGGGGCGAACTGGAGTCCTTAAACTGCAAAAAAGATGGTATAAGAGGTTTACACGTTATAACTTACAGCACCACACACTCACTTGATGTTGTTAGCGGCCGTATCGTCATCATGTCCTTGGGGAGATTCGACTTTCAGCTGGAAAGCGTTCAAGTATCCAGTATGACACCATTGTGGTAGTCCCCAATCACCCCAGCTGAAGAAAACACAAGGTTGCCTGATCAAATCTATTATTATTCAAGAAAATCCTCAATTTGCTTAAATGCAAGAATTATCCTCTACCTTCCTGCTTTGGACTCAATTGGGGTGTCACACGATCCTGTGAAACCTTTGGACCGATCAACACAACAAAGCTGAATGGAGTTGAGGCCTGTATCGTCACCGGCAAGCTGCATTCGTTCAATCTAAAAACAACAGTGAGACGATCAGTAAACGCTAACCCAGGGGTCGTCGAGCTCAGACGCCACAGGGCCCTCATTTAAAACACATCAAACGTGAAGGGCCACAAATTACAGCTTGTATCGGAAGACTTTGACATTATAGTTTTTACTTAATTAAGAAACGCAGTTTAATACCCCTCTTGCTAGTCTTTATGCTAATTAAAGTAATCGAATACTGATATGAAAATAAAAAACCCTGGAGCAGTGGATTGACAGTTTAAAATAATAATGAGATTTATAAGACATGTTTTTATACTCAGGGTCGCTTTACAAAGTTATTATTCTTAGTCTACAACTAATACAGGCCCACTATTAGCCCTGTACATCTAACTCTAACTAACATTAATCATTATGCTCTTTAGTATTACTCAGACACTTTAAAGATCTTAACAGCAACTGCACAGTTTTAATCCTTTTATGCGCTCATCCCCTCTCAATATTAGCAAAACTAGAGTCAATGCTCAACTTACCTTCATATTAAACCCTGCGGCGTACTTTCCACTTGGACACTTGGTATAACCGGTCGCCCACGATCCCCAGACCCCTCCATTCGGCACCTTCAGCTCAGACTCGCCGCTCACAGGCCCAATAATGGCTAGCAGTGAAAACAGCATGGACAACAAGTGATGCATTGCTACAGCACTGGCCTAAACACTGACTTATATTAAATTAAATTGAAGTTCACTATCTGTAGAGACCAATAAAACAGGTTTCACAGCATTCTCAAGTTTATTAAGGAGGAAGCCTCATATTTATACACAAGATTAAGCAGAATCATTAACCATGATGTCCTTTCCATCCAATCACAATAATCAAACATCAACCCCTACCATATGTGGCATATTAAGAAATTATGTTTTATTAACAAAGTTCGGGAGGAGCACGTTCAGATAATTAACCCTAATTAAACACATGTGCAGCACATTCAGATAATCAAACCTAATTAACCATGAGTGGAGCACATTCAGTTATCTCATATCTCTATTCAGTCATATATTTATATATGATAATCACGCTGTAAGTAACCCCTAAAATCTAGAAAGTAGATTGAGGCTTCGTGACGCGATGAAACAGTTGAAGCAAATGTGCCATATTGTGTCGAGGCTCCGAATCTCAGCGGTGACACCTAGTGGTCACTTGTAGGAGTTGATCTGAAACAACCTTGACAACAAACGAATATAAAAATGTTTTTATTTCTTATTATTGTAGCTGTTTTTCTAATATGTGAAGCTTGTAACCTGTATGCTCCTCACTGTGCAGATTGTTATCTTGGTCCTGACAAATGAATAATAAAATAAATCAAGCCACAATGTCTCACTTTTTAGAGATTCTTATTAAAAATATGAATTTCTCTTCTTTGGAAGGCTGGAAAATGTTCTTTGGTCTCACATACATGTGATAAAGGAGAGAATTGAACATTTAAAGTCGCATGTAATAATTGTTTAATTTATTGATTCTTAAGCGTATTTATACCTTTTATAAATGTATTCCTTTAAACTATGCACATGTGTGATTGATTAATAATTACATAGATAATATCTAAATCATACAAAATTATTATTATAAATAAGCATTACTAAAAGCCAGATGATTTTGTCTGTAAAAATCATTTGCTATGTAGTGTAAAAGAATGTGAATTAATGCTTTAAATGCTGTTGTGCTCAAATTGACTTATTGTGCATGAAATAAAGATATCTGCAGAGGAGCTGTAGAAGAGCAGACGCGTCTCTCGTTCTGTTCTTTTTTTACAGATAGCCCTTACTGCTCATCTCCTGGGTTACGAGCTTGTGGTTATAGAGCATAAAGCGATCAGTCGTTGCAGTGCGCAAACAAGGATGACCACAATACCACATCTGTGAGTTCTTGAACCTGTTTATACCAGGGGCGGAGCTACATGGTGGCCAGGGGGGGCCACGGCTCGGCTCCCCTGCCGGCCCCCCCTCCCAACCTCACGGGAAAATAAATTTAATAATAATAAAAAATAAAAATAAAAACTCCAGTAACGGTCTAAAAAGGAAGCTGAAATGTATGCATTTTTTAATCAAGTCATTGATTTGTCACTTGTTGGGTCTCGCCCCTTGTTGGGTCTCGCTCAACAGTGCGAGACATAACGTGCCTGCATTCTGACAGCGCTTGGGCTGTTTACACCTGGCCACTTCATGCGTTTTCTCAGATCGGATAGCTATCTGATTTATCAAAACGATTCCATTTACACCTGGTCACATAAATGTGTTTTTGCAAAATGGATATAAATCCGATCTTCAATTCCCGCGTTATATACAGATTTAATTAGTGCACGTCGACCGAAAGCAACAGATATGAGCTGGAATTTATTGATCATCGGCTAATTTCAAAATCAGCAAAGACGGCGATAAGAGAGAGCGGCAACAGAACTGGTAAGATCATTTCGTTTCTTTACTTTTAATGAAGATGGTAGTTTTAATCGTCTACGACTTACTTTCACTTTGATTTGCGATAGATTGCGGTGCGTTGGCTTAGTTCAGCCGCTCATCTGAGGTGATGATGCGCGTCGCAGTAGCATCGTCATATCTGACTAAAATAGCATGACATGTAGCCTGTAACACGCTCTCACGCGTTTCTTTTTTTAGCACTTTTGGGAGTACATACTCTGTCCATATTGTCACTATGAACGTACTACAACCTTTGAAACATGAAAAAAACACTTCATGTGAATAACAGTACTATTTTCATATTAATATTTGTGTACTGTACGTACAGTAAGTCAGGTATTGATCAAATTTCACCTGTAGTAAGTCAGTATGGTCTCTAGGAACGTACTACAACCTTTGAAACATGAAAAAACACTTTAGATGGAAAACAGTAATATTTTCATGTTAATATTTGTGTACAGTATGGTAAAGGAGGTATTGCTCAAATTTCACCCGTAGTAAGTCAGTATGTTCAGTATGTAATTACTGCAAGCTTTGAAACATTAAAAAAAAAACATTTCAATTGAATTATTTTTTGCACTGTGAGCTGAATTTGCAGACGGTCCCTCTGGCGAATATCGAACCTAAAACCCCGCTACGTTGTCTTGCGGTCGGATGTTAGACTCGGCTCGGATTTATACCAAGGTTATGGGGTAGTTTTTTATCTAGTCTAGTACTGGCTTGATGTCGCCGTCTCTAAAGTGTCAGTTCCGAGTTCGCGGAGTGAAGTGCTTCTGGGAGTCCTTAATAACGGCAGGTAAGAATGGAGCAAGTGCATGTACAACTGTTGTTGATTTGCTCATTTATCCACATCTACGTGTGGCTTACTTTGTGATACTTTGAACGCTTTTTTGATTAAGATTGTTAAACTTCTTGCGGCATGTCTGCGACGCAACACTTCACTTTTCTATATAATGCAGAATTAATAATCGTTGCGGTTGACGCGTGTGAAGAGTTGTGTTTTACACACACAGCTGAAGCAGATTAATACACTGGATTAATACAAAATGTGTTCGCTGAAGAATACCTTTGTAGTCTTGCGTTCTGGGTTTTGTTCGAGGTTTGGTTAATGCGGGCACAGTGAACACGCGCGCGCTCCGTAATTCATTGTGCTCTCTCATCAACCAGACCTCGAACAAACCCAAAGAACGCAAGACCACAAAGGCTTGTGCCATTAAGTCTAATCTTCAGCGATGAGAGCGTCACGTTCATGGTTTTAAACAGATTGGTGCGGTTGTGTTCATCACAGATTTGTAGCTAATAATCGAGTTCCAGCCGGATTTATTGAATGCGTTCTTTTCATGTGTTGCTTGTGTGTGAAGAGTGAACGCGCTTTATTAAAATGCGCCACATTTGTTTTGCTACTTAATGCAAACTCGTAGCAGCATTTATCTTTCTGAAGGAGAAAGTGTCGTTCAGTTGTGAAGGAAACAGGAGCTGTTTGTGCTCTGACCACTAAGCAAAGCATGCAGGGTGACACCAGTAGTCATTGTAAAATAACATTTCTCCTGCTTAGCGTGCAATAGCCTACTTGATTCAAGCAGTGAGTAGCTCCATCTTTAAGCATATTCATGTTTGAATGTAATACGCTGATCTGTAGCTGAGAGTGCATCAGATTAATGCTGGATAATAATTTATTGCTTAAACTTATTAAAGTGTTGCCTTTCTAACTGCAGGTTGTCATTGTACATTGAAATAATCTCATGATGTACTGCATTTAACTTTTACAGAAAAAAAGCTGTAAAAACAAGAAGACAGGAAAAAATGGAGGAGACACAATCCAGTGAATCACGAGAGGAAAGAGGACAGATGCTTGTCAGATGCGAGAGTATGGAGAGACTAAAGCCAACCTGTGAGTGTTTGATCATTATACTCATATATTGCTCTTAAAACATAAACCCAAAGTAATGAGGATAATCTGATATATTTGTGATTTCTAGTCTCCTGTGATCCAGACGGGCCTGTAAAGAGTGATTCAGTCAAAACTGAGGAGAGATTCTCATCAAACCCTTCATCATCATCATCTTCATCACCATTGTAACGACTGAGACCATCAGACACTAAAGCCCACTGTAAAGAGAGCAGAAAAGGCCTCAATCGTCCGGCGCCCGTCAGATAAGATGGTTTTATTGGAGAATGTGGTCATGTGATCAGACCGAGGCCATGGGAAAGACAGAAACACATCTTAAACAGACTTTCCTGCAGTAATGTAGAAGAACTGATCTATAAATGAACTGAAAGCTTCACTTTCAAACAGAATTACTGACTAATTCTACAATATGTGTTTAATACATGTGGTTAACAAACGAATAAAAATGTTTTTATTTGGTATTATTGTAGTTGTTTTTCTAATATGTGAAGCTATGCTCCTCACTGTGCAGAATGTTATTTTGGTCCTGACAAATGCATAGTGTCACAATGTCTCACTTTTAAGATATTCTTATTAAAAATATTAATTTCTCTTCTTTGGAAGGCTGGAAAATACTCTTTGGTCTCACCTGAACCGCCTCAGGTAAGATTTTTAACTTTGGTACTTTCATGTTCCCTTAAAATTAGCAGAAACATCACAACTACACTACATTAAATCAACGGCTATTTGGTTAGGGTTTTGAGATCCAACACAATTTTGTACAAAGTTTAAAAATTTCTTGAAATTTGAACCTGGGGTTTCATACTGTGTAATATAGTTAATAAGTAACATTACATCATTTAGGCTCATGAAAAATTTGGTTAACTACACATATGTAAACCATTGCTTTCATTTCAAGTGGTAAGTGGTATGTGTGTGGTTCCCACACTGACTTCACAACTTTTGCCTAACTTTAAATCTAAATCTAAAAATAAAAATAAACACACCCCTGTTCTAAGAGAATGTTAGTTGCTTTCGATAAAAGCTGATATGGATAAAAGTGTCTGCTAAAGACTGTAAATTTAGAAAGTGTGCTGCAGAATGTTATTACATGAAACTGTATTATTGAGCAAAATTGACCTTTCTCATGGTTGGTTTCTTTTAACAGGTTTGCATATCGCAAGAAAAGGATAACAGCAAGTTTTAAGATTTTGTGATTAAATCTGAGAGCTGGATCACATATCTTAATTTGTGTTCTGAAGATGAACGAAAGTCTTACAGGGTTTGAACAACATGAGGGAGAGTAATTCATTTTTGGGTGAACTAACCCTTAAAAATAAAACTATAAATGCAGTTATTTATGAATTAAACCCAGAAATTCATACAGTTAACCTATCCAATTTCACGAAGAATGGGCGTTTTGTAAATTTGTAAGACACACACACACTTTCAGTATCTTGTTTATATTGTGTTTGAACTGGTGTGGAATTTGGTCCAAAATGTGAAACAATTTCAGTCTCTGAATAGATCGCTCCACATGCATCCTAGCTTTTGAAATCAATCTGTTATTGTTCACTTCCTCCTGAGTGAACCGTCCATCGACGAGGAAAGACGGGATGTTCAGGGAAACTCCTTCTGGCAAAATGTCCTGAATTGTGAAGCCCTTGTCTGCCATAACCATATCGCCCGGATGTAAGTGTTGGAGAAGTCCACAGTCAGCTGTTATTGCCTTGTCTGAGGCACTCCCACCGTACAGGTCACTGGCAAAGGTGATACATCCATTAGGAGCAACACCGATTAAAGCCTTGTACTGGCTCTTGTACTCCGTGTCAGAGACGGCAACCTCTGTGCAGTCGAGCACGATCCGACAGTTCGGGAAGGGCTGGAAGCAGTCTGGCAGCGATGTTTGATTCTTGGTTGTGGAGGGGATGTTGTTCTCAAGCAAACCGACATACAAAATCTCATACAGGGCACTAATGATGCTGGTGAAGATGTCGGTTACTGTGGCTGTGCTACAATTAAACCTTGTTGCAAGGTCTATGTGGCCGCAATTTAGCCTAAGCTTCATTAAGGTCAGGAGCAATTGATCAACTAAGGGCATCATTTGGACAGTCCAATCAGAATGATATTGTAGTTCAAATTTAGAAAGAAGCGATTCCAAAAACAGGACCGTGGCAACATCAGGCAATCCAGTGAAATATTGAACTCTCTCAGGACTGAAGGAAAAAATGTGTTTTTTCAATTGTTCATTCTCTGCCCTGAGCATCTCATTCTCCACCTCGAGGGCCACAAGACTTTTTGAAGTACACGGGGTCTCCACCGTGTCAGCATCCGCTCCCTCATCCTCACCGTTGCAAGGGACCATTTGTTTCTTGCGTTTTGGGAGATGGCTGAGGTTCTCTGGGAATCGGAAAGTCTTCCCCTCATTCCAGGCAAATCTTGACGGCCCAGCAGCTTTTCCATTGGGGAAATGCCAACTGCACACCCTAGAGTTGCAGTTTGGGATGAAGTTTTTACGTCTGTAAAAAATAAATGCATTTATCATTTTAGCATTTAAATATTACTTTTATAATTATAATATTTACATTCATTCACCAAAGGGATTTATTATTATTATTATTATTATTTAAAGGTTGTACCATGTTCCTATTGACCAGAAAGACTTATTTCAGGTGAAAATCTGACAATATCTCTTAGCTCGCTTGCTTTATATACAACAATCACTGTAATTCACCTCAAGTGCTTTTTCATGTTCCAAAGGTTGTAGTATTTTCCTAGTGACCTGACTAACTCACTACATGTGAAATTTCTGTAATACCTAATATTATTATAATAATTTACATATACAATAATATAACGCTGTAATTCACTAAAAGGAGGTTTGTTTGTTTGTTTCAGGTTGTAGTACATTAATAAACATGAGTCTGATCTTATATCTCAGACAAATGTTAGCAGATTATCGTACTAAAACTGGTCTAATGTTTTTTCTTGCTATGTACACATCTTCTTCATGCTTCGATTTGTCTAGTGTTCTTGTTTTTGTTATCATTTTATAACGTGCTTCGTGGTACATTATTCGGCATTTTCGTTCACACAGCGCTAACTTATATACTAAAACATAGACTGCAGGCAAAGCTAACGTTAGCCTTAGCTAGCTAACTTCGTTTCATCTTAACTAGGCGGCAGAACAAGGCCTGATAACGGAAAAACAATGCAAGATTTGGGTTTATAGCAACAAACAACATATAAACCCATAACGTTAGACTACATAAGCCATTTTATTCTTAAAGGTCTGATTTCGCTTCAGCGCCAGTGGGTGTTAGGGATAAAGGAAAGAATTGTAACTTACCTGATCAACTGCAGCCATTTTCTCTTTTCTTTCTCGTCACAGGGAAAGCGGAAGAATGACAGTTGAATGTCACTTGTTTTTTTTAACTCCGATCTATTTAAACAACACGGGACACAGCACTGCGGCATGTTAAAACCAGGTTAAAACTCGTATCGGGCGAAAGCGGTAAGTAGATGGAGAGGACCCGGCATTTGGACCCGGAAGCGATATTTTTTCCCCAGGATGGTAGGGGACTCATTAATATTCATTGGGGAACTCATTCCTGATTGGTCTTAACCCCAGTGACGGTTAGGTTTAGGGGTGGGGTTAGTGGTAGGTCGTCAGTCCTCATAGACAATTACACTAGCCCATAGATATCATATAGGTAGACGCCCTATCGACCACTACTGCCTATTGGCACGGACGAGAATTGGAGCCGCCATCTTAAACCGGTCATCCGCTCCGCTCAGTGTATGGACTATGTGCACGTTAGCATATGCTAGTTCCGGCTGCGAAACCGATATGGGGTGTCTAGTTTCCGGTAGCCTGATGGACGACGTAGAGGATGTATGTTTCTCCAGATGTCTTGAACATTTGCCGAATATTACAGTCGATTATGTTCATCGACTGGCTAATGATTTTCCTCCAGCTCCCCAGAGCAAGAGAGAAGGGGTTTAAATATTACATCTCTCAGTATTTGCATAATTTTGAAGGGAACGTTAAGTCACAACAACATCCATGCTCAGACTGATCTCATGAAGTAGCGTGTGTATGACACACCAATTCGTATTTCCATTTTTGGCGTGCTGTCAACACGCATAATCACTTTTCAGCGTGTTTATGAACACCGTTGACTTAACGTTATTACTGTATATATAAATATATGACTTACCCCAACCCCGTCCCTAAACCGTCACTGGGGTTAATGGCATTTACGACTGTTCCCTCAGAAAAATATCACTCCCCAGATGTAGATCTACATTTTGCTTCGTTTCGCTCAGACATTTGACGGCGTCTACAGACATGCGGAATCACTTGGACATTAATGGCGTAGACATACACGCATGCGCGGATCGCTCAAAATGGGTAGAGATAACACACCACTTGAGTCGAAAGTGGCGTATATGTTTACGCAAAAGTCATGATGTCATGTTGCTATAAGAAAGGCATATAAATTAATCTTGGTTTTGACTGGTTTTCTTTTCCAACACCATGGCATCCTCTTTCTGTCTCCTAATATCATTACAAGCAAATATTCTCAATTCTAAGTGCAAACATGTTTAATTTAAGACATTAAACTATTAAGCTGTAGAAATAATAAACAGACCTTGTTTTTGAATGGCACCATATCATCATTTTATTCATTTAAAAGTGTTTTAATGCTGAACATTTAAAAAAAAAGGCATCCCTTCACAACTCCAGGCATGTTTCAATTATTTGTTTATATTCTGAACTAATACATTCATGTCTCCTGAACTGCCTTTCTCACTGCAGGTAATGTGTTTTGGTAGACGACCCTGTTATATTGATTGGTCAGAGAGAATCGTCACTATCCCCTGCGTCATCATTGCACGCGCCAGATGGAGTATCCGGAGTAATCCCGCCATTTAAAGCAATGGTGATGAGCTGTGTATTAATACAATTGTATGTCTAGCCAAATTCACTCAAAAGTGTAGAATTGTAAAATCATCTCCCAAATTTTTTGTTTTTTTTAAATGAATTTAAACTGCAAATAAAATCCTTAAAGGGATACTCGGGACATTCAGCCGATTTTCTTATATTTATAAGAATATCAGTAACCAGACAGTTTCTAGTTATATTTTTTTCCTACTATGGAAGTCAATGAGACCTTAAACCGTCTGGTTACTGATATTCTTCTAAATATCAGAAAATCGGCTGAATGGATTCGAAAACGGTAAAACCCAACTGTGTAACTCTGGGGGAGTGGTAAAATGAGCCTATTTCCAAAAAAAAAGTGGAGTATCCCTTTAAAAACATTGAAAGGCACAAAAATATATGATACCCTAAAACTCTTCCCAATTGAGATTAATGAATGAACAAAGACTGTATTCACCCCATCATGTATGTTATATCATAATTCCTTACCATTTATTTATTTAAATGTTTATTTTCCGTACAAATATCCTTATTTTTGTACTTAGACTATTTTCTTGCTGTATTAAGAGCTGTTCCCTCTGGCTATATTTTCTTTGTATCCTAAGAAAGGGAAGTTATGCAGCCATGTTTGTTTGTAAATCTTGAAATTTCAATAAAAAAAAATAATCCCGCCATTTTAAAATAGTTTGAGATAGCTACTAAACTTACTACTATTATTATGGCAAGTCGGAGGAATACGCCGAGGTCAAACTTTCTTTTGTTTGTTGGCCGAAGAGAGCATCCGCAGGATTACAACACAAAATATACAATATGTATCAAGAATTGAATTCTTGATATCAACAATTGTATTTTCACTAGTGAAATGTAACCAAAACCAATTGTTGATATCAATAATTTACATCCTGGAAATGAATAAACGCTAAAACGGCTTGCCACAGAGAACGACACTCATTTTTTATTTGAAGGTGATATTTTATTAAACTGTCGCCATTATTTTATGCTACTGCATTTTAGAGCATACATTTTATTAAAAAAAATATATGGATAGTCGAAACATAACTCGAGAATCTCTGGTAGTCCGCGCATGCGCAGTATCAGCTGCTCGTGCTCATCGCTTCTCTCAGTTCAGTGAACTGTTGAGTTATTATTAGAATAATATACTCGGGGATATTGGTGTATTACTTGTCGGAGGGACTGTCAGGAATGCTGAAAGTGAGTAACTTTAGAAAAATGTGGATGTGACTCAAGACGCGAACTGTTTTGAACGATTCAGTCCGATTTGGTGAACTGGTTCGACCGGTTCATTAAAATGAATCAACCGGTTCAAAAGAACGATCACTAATGAATATATTACAACAACACACCTCAAAACTGCTGCGCTGATTCGTGATTCAGTCACCCGATTATCTTCTACATCTCGACAGACACGCAGTCGGTGAGTACTAGAAACTATGAATATTATTAGGAGAAAACAGTAGACAATTCAGTGAGAAGGTAGACCGAGCAGAGGACTTTGGTGGTCTATAAATCTATAATCTGTTGTAGCCGAGATCTCCACAGATGATCATATGAAGCAATCTGAGTTATGAGGAGTTATGAAAGCAAGCTTTTCTGTTTACTTTCACTTTAGAAAGCAAAGGAGATCGTCGATATGATTTAATCGCTTTAAGTTTTTTATTAATTAACTTTTAATTGCGGTTCATCTCAGATCTGATGACGCATGACCATCCATATGATGGGGGGGGGGGATAACAACACATAAAGTAGACAGTTCAGCTGTTTCTGTCAATGATGGCTTTGTTTTCGCATTTAACACATCTAACAAAACTTTGTTAAATGTGTGTGTGTGTGTGTGTGTGTGTGTGTGTGTGTCATTTACGTCATCGCGCGGATGTTCATAGCTGTGTGTGTGTGTGAGACACCAGTCATTTACGTCATCACGCGGATGTTCATAGCTGTGTGTGTGTGTGTGTGTGTGTGTGTGTGTGTGTGTGTGTGTGTGTGTGTGTGCGTGCGTGCGTGCTACGCCGTGTAAACAACGGATGTTCATAGCTGTGTGTGTGTGTGTTTTGCTTGAACAACAATTACAGATCTGGAAACAAATAATAACAAAGAAACAGTTGCTAGGGTTAAGGATAGAAAATAATAGACCAAACAAGCAATAAAATGCTTTGATATTTCACAAAATCTTACATGTATTCACTAAATGAACGTTTTTTATCAGCTTTTTTGGTTTGTACTGTCCTTATTGGAAACCATATAATTTTTTCACAGAAAAAAGAGGTGTGCTAAACTTACGCCAATGAATGTGGAACTTAAATATAATCACAAGATTTCATTTTCCAGACTAATTTCATATTTAAAAATAAATAAATACAAATATTCATATAACAATAGAAAGTTGCATTCCAGTTTGTCATTAATAAATGTAGACTTTCCACCATAACCTGTTTGTATATTATCGTCAGTGCCAAGAAATATGACGTACAGTTGCAAAAAAACAAATTCACATCCGTCTTTGTTAGACTTGGTTGGGTAAAACTCTTAAGTGAAATTTCTTTGACATTATTTGTAATAATGTATTTATTAGGTAACAGACCTAACTGTAATTAATAGTTCCAATAAACCTTGATTAATATTTGACACTACAGGGAACGTACAGCCTTATTATTTGGTTGAAAACAAACGTATCATGAATAGAGTTTAGATTATAGAGTAGATCTGTGCATGAGGAGAAACGCCCGAGCAAACAGCAGCGGATACACACCCTGCGTAACCCAACAAAAGAGAAAACCATCCACAACTGTCCTCTCAGCGACAGGAGAGACAGAAACTGGCAACCTTGCCTAACTCCTCTTTCCAGATCAGATGCCTGCTGTTATTATGTCATTTCTCAGAACTGTCTCCACCTGCATAAAGAGTTTTCCTGGCATTACAGCAATAAACAGCAACACATAAAAGGATGTTCAACAGAATCAAAGGTATAACACTATCATCTTTTATAAGGTCAGAAATTATTAACCCTCAAACTGTATTCACTTTATAGCCCTTAATCCTGTAATTGTGGACATGTGGGCACAGAGGACTCAGGTGGGATCCTAATTTTTATTTATTATAAATGTTATATAAGTTTTGTCTATCCATTTATGGTGTTTTTTTTTATTTTGGGGCTTTTTTTGAATTTATTTGCTTCAAAAAGTACCATATTTTCTATGTAAATTATGCCTTTTTTTACTTTTTTTACTTTACTTTTTAATTTTTTTTACTACATTAAAATATCATTCCAATAAGTTCTTAGAGCTAAAACCTGAAGATGAAGTGACTTTGCTGTCACCTGGTGTCTCATTTTTTACAGTTTTTCCCATTCATTTCTATGGGTGCCCATTTTTGACCCAAATACAAGATTAAGAAGTTTTTTTTGTTTTTAAAAAGTTTTTTAAAATTATTTAGGAGGCAAACTAAGGAAAAGTAGCCAAGTCTTGTACCGCTCAGATCAAGGGAAGTATTTCTTAAAAATAAATCAAAACTATTGTGCCCACATTTGTCCAGAATACGGTTTTAGGGTTAAACATTTGTCTCATAAACCCAGATTGATTTTCATCAATAATGGAATAGTAATTTGAAGCTTTGGGCAAAGACATGAGCAAATATTTAGTCATCAAAATATAGTCATCGATAGGCAAATGATTATCCCTTGGTCATAGTTGTGGGAATCTCAGAAAACTGCTCATCGTTACCGGCTGATTTATTACAGTTATTAGCTTAATCTCCATAATAGTTATTGGGAAATAATCACATCACTTTTGGTCCTCTTCAGTAATTGTTTTTACATTCTTAAAATGTTTACAAAAAGACGTCCTATAATGCTCACTGAATTTAGAAGTGTATAAATTAGAGTATTAATTATAGCAAAAGCTAGAAATGTCAAAATGATCTGTAATAGATCCAGTAATATTCATTTTAGAAACAGAATTTAGTTTAACCGTCGACTTTTCAAGTTTAGAAAGATGATCCGAGATCTGCAGAGAGTCATTATTAAAACGCTTAGTAAAAAACTAAACCAAAGCCTTACGCTTAACCTTTTCTCTTAAACCCCTGGCATCAAATATATAATAAAAAATGACATAAACAACTAACTCTGAAACCACAAAACAGAAAAAAAACCTTGTAAGCTCTAATAAACAGTCAGTTATATGAGATTAAAGGTCATCACATAATGAAGCGCCATAAAGTCTTGTATTGTGTGCAAATAAGCACCTCTTAAAGGGATAGTTCACTTTGAAATTAATGTTTGATATGTTTTATCTTACCTCAAGGGCATCCAAGATGTAGGTGTCTTTGTTTCCACAGTATTTTCAATTTTGACATTTTTAGGTCAATAATCATTTGCAATTTGATTTTGGTTGTGTATTCAGGAGCTCCTGATTTTACACACAGGAGGTAGTCTGGATGAGGCTGTTAAGGGACACATCACCTTTCTCATCCTGGCACCAGTCTTACAGTAGCGTTAGCTAATAATAATAATAAAAAAAAGACCGAGACCGATCCGTTACCAACGCAGTTTTAAAAAAAAAATCAAGTAGAATTTCTATAACTGTGTGTTGAACTGATAATCACTCTTTTGTGTGTTAAACACAATCTACTTAATACAGACAACTTCATTATAAAGAACAAAAATTATATTATAAACTAGATTAGTGGGTAACTAATTTTAAATTTCAGAATTTTATAAAATCAGAACATTGGAAAAAAATGAGTGGGGAACAAATAAGAGACAAATCTGGTAACACGTTACACATTGCTCTTTGTATTGTTGTAAAATACATTCATGAAAAACAAGATAAAAATCAAAAAGATCAATTATTTAATAGTCTTCTATAAAATTAACAAAATATATATAGTAGAGCCCGACCGATAAAGGATTTTGAAGGCCGATACAAATATTTCTTGGTTTTAAAATCCGATATATCGGCCGATATTTTTATTTATACATTTTTTATTTCAGAAACGCGCAACAAAATATTAACAGATTTCCCTAACATTAGTTACTTGTAGTTAATTATGAGTTTTAACTAAAATAATATGATAATGCATTACTGGTTCTCTGTGGCGGGATCAGCAGGTTGCGGGATGTGTGGCGCGTTGCCGACAGGAACGGTGTAGAGCGCCCTCTGCTGGACAAACTATACAACTCCAACACTCATGACATGCTTGAAGTGTGATTCATCTGTTTTTATTTTATTTTTGAAATATTCATTTATCGGCCATTATAACTGCCGATACCCATATTTTAGAAAATGCCTAATATCGGCCTGCCGATGTATCGGTCTGGCTCTAATATATAGCACAAATGTAGCTATAGCACAGCTGTTTAATGAGGCAACAACATATGATAGGACAGAACAGAACTAAAAATACTATTAATAATCTTTCATTGCGCAAAAGTATTATGATATGATTGAAAGAAAGACTGCAATAGAGTGCGGCACACGGCGCTTATGCGCATCGCGAACGCTGAATGAACAGCGCGCAGCTCTATTTAAACTACGTTACGCATTGAAAAGTTCAAAGCACAAAGGAAATACATATGGATGCATAGTGTATTATACAGTATCTATCTATGCAATAGTTTATTGAATCTTTTCTTTTAACAGTTTTAAATTTCAGTTACTGTGCGCGTGATGAACTCTAGTGTTGTGATCTAGACGCGCGGTAAAGGAACATGATTGAGGTACTACAGCAAGATAGTCAATTTATGCGAAACCATAGAGCTTTATCTACAGATCAAGTATAATAATATTAACATTTAATCATCTTGGAGAGAGTTTCATCGTTGCTGAACGCGCCGCGACGTGCTGAACGCTGAATTTAGAATGACTGACAGCTGCAGCGGAGGGAAAAGTTTACGTGATCTTGAATTTAACCCTCAGGTGCTCTTCGTTTCGGAGTTACACTTGTTATCTTCCCGGTCAAAAGTGACCGGATACCAAAAAATGAAACTTTCTCTATCCCAGTAAAACCAATGCAATTTATTTTTGTTCTATAATATTTATTCTTTTTAATTTAGTATTTTGAGACAATTTAATTGAATTTATTCATATTTATGCAATATTTATGGTTTATTTTTGCCATGGAAAAATATATATATTTTTCTATATATATATATATTATTTTTTTCAAAAAAGTATTAATGCAGTATTTTAGTTTAAAATAGAGTCTAGGCCTTCAGAAAAAAAATATTTTTTGAAGAAAATTAGCACCATCTGGTTACAGTATAGAGAAAAGGCGTAGAATCATGGAGTGACCACTAGATGGCATGTACAGCTCTCTATGGAGAGGCATGTGAATTCCCCAGCTGTTTATAAACACATTTTTTGTTGTTGTTGGTGGTGGATTTGAATATATAGTTGAAACAATCTCAAAAACTATTTCTTATAAAAAAAAAATGACAAAAAACAAATTTTCCAATTTTTCCAATTACAATTTCCCATTCATTTCCTATGGGGGTCATTTTTGACCGAAGACCACAAGTGTGACTATTTTTTTTAAGACCACTTAGCATGCTCAGATCATGACCTCAATTTTTTTGTGTGTTCACATACATAATGCCATAAAAGTCACCAAGTTTCGTAACATCGCAATGAAGCTGTGATTTTTAAAAATTCAAAACATACTTTTTGTTATCAAAATTTATTGGTGTGTATGTGTATAAAAGTGTGTTTTTATGTGTGTGTGTGTTGGTGTGTGTGTCTGTTTTGCACTCTAGATGTTGTAGATTGTCACCCCTTTCTTGCGGTGTACTTTTTTTTTGAATTGTGGCCGATTTGTAGATTGTACACACAAAAATTCAGAGATTTTTTTTTTTTTTTGTCAATTTCCCATTCATTTCCTATGGGTCGGTCATTTTTGACAGAAGAGCAAAAGTGTTACTCATTTTTTTACGACCACTTAAATTGCTGGAATCATGACCTCAATTTTTTTGTGTGTTCACATACCCAATGCCATAAAAGTCACCAAGTTTCGTAATTTTCTGAAGAAGCTGTGATTTTTAAATATTCAAAACAGATTTCTTTAATCACAATTTATTGGTGTTTTTGTGTATAAAGGTGTGTGTGTATGTCTGTTTTGCACTCTTGATGTTTTACAGTGTCACCCCTTCAATGCTGAGCACTTTTTTTCTGCATCGTGGCCGATTTGTAGATTGTACACACAAAAATTCTCAAAGTTTTTGTTTTTTTGTCAATTTCCCATTCATGGTCGGTCATTTTGGACCGAAGAGCACAAGTGTGACTATTTTTTTTACGACCACTTATCCTGCTCGGATCATGACCTCAATTTTTTTTTTGTGTTCACATACCCAATGCCATAAAAGTCACCAAGTTTCGTAACATTCCGATGAAGCTGTGATTTTTAACATTTCAAAACAGAAAATGTTTTGGTCAGAAATGACCGAAGAGCACCTGAGGGTTAATGACCTAAATGTTAATTTCTATCTCACATTATACTATAGTATAGCTTCATATTACTCCGACATTTTCTCATCGAATCTACACGATTCACGTAGGTCACCTATTTTAGTTTCAAAACGGCGAATTTTGCCGAAAGGCGAGTGATCTTCATGTCTGTATATTGAATGTGCTGTAGGAGCTTGCCTGAGGTGATCATTAACACACACACACACGAGAACCGGTGCCGTGTACAGAAGCAGCCGGAGGAGCCGATGAAGACTTTACTCGGACTGGATTGGAGTCTGGAAAGCAGTCCTTGATCCGCTACAGTGGGAGTGAAGCCAGTGACGCCACACCGTCTGCAGGTAAGAGTCATACGGGTTTATTTGTGCTAATCCCTCTACTGATGTAAACAGCACACACATCTCTAAAGATCTTCTGTGTTGGAGGATTCCTGCATCTGTTAGTAATGGCTTTCTCTTGACACGATGATCACACTCTTCATATCTGTTGACCTCCACAGACATGGCTCCCAAGACCAGGAGCGACTTCCTTCAATGTAAGAAAACCGTGACGAGAAACTACAGTGAACATGAAGATCAGATTCATAACTCGTGATTGTGTTTTCTGCCCATCAGACGCCCATCCGCTCACTCTGGATCTGAACACGGTGAACAAACACCTCCAGCTGTCTGAGGGCAACACACTGATCTCCGGCAACTTCAGCGAGCTCCAGTCGTACCCCGACCATCCGGACCGGTTCGACTCGTACGAGCAGGTGTTGTGTAGCGAGAGTGTGTGTGGCCAGCGCTCCTACTGGGAGATCGAGTGGCGCGGCGGCGTGTCCATATCGGTGTCGTATAAGAGCATCGGCAGGAAGGGATGGGGGGATCGCTGTGGCTTCGGCTTTAATGATCAGTCCTGGAGTTTGGACTGCACTCCCTCCGGTTACTCCTTCATACACGACAACAGAGAGACCAAACTGCGGGCCGTGCCCAGCCGTAGAGTAGGGGTGTATGTGGATCACGGCGCAGGAACTCTGTCCTTCTACAGCGTCAGCAGAGACACCGCCAGCCTCATACACACCGTCCACACCACGTTCACACAGCCGCTCTATCCCGGCTTTTATGTTTTTCTTGGATCGTCAGTGAAACTGTGTTGATGAGAACAGACTACAGAGAGATTCTACCCATAATGCTTTGGGCCACATGATAAGTCAGTATCAGTGAGACATTATAAAGTCTCTTATTTTCTCTTCATTACATTAATAACACATCAGTGTGTGTATCTGTGGTTTTTTGATGAAGCTTCATTTAGCTTAATAGTTGAGGTACATCAGTCATTCATCATTTATGTAGAATTGGGATTTGTTAAACATATTTTAATCCTGGTGTATTTTAGAGGTTTAAGCACTTTTGTATTTGTACTATTTTCCCAGTTATTCTTTCAATCAAATAAAAAATGAATGAAACTGATACATCAAAGCAGTGTGGTACTCTTATTGATCAAACCTGAGGAGTCCTGACACACACACACCAGCAAGATGCTTCGATGCGGCCACTGGGGGGCGCTACACCTGACCGAGACCCACGAACTTAAACACGTGATCCTGTTGAAGGACTCTGTTACAAATCCATCTTTTGCTCATCCATCTGTAATTATAGATCTCCGTTTCCTCAATTAACAACCGTTTAATTGAAGACATTAAACTATTAAGCTGTAGAAATAATTTACAGACTAAGAGTTTTTGAATGGCACCATATCATCATTTTATTCATTTAAAAGTGTTTTTAATGCTGAACATTAAAAAAAAAGGCATCCCTTCACAATTCGGGCATGTTTCAATTATTTGTTTATATTCTGAACTAATACATTCATGTCTCCTGAACTGCCTTTCTCACTGCAGGTAATGTGTTTTGGGAGACGACCCTGTTATATTGCTCTGTTGGGACACATTTGCTCCTGAGGGAAAACCAGCTGGGATCATGAACTTTTCTAGGGACCTGTATTTATTATGCAAGAATGATTTTAAATGTCTTTGAAGGGTAGACATTTGGCTGAAACTCTTGTCACATGAAGCGCAGTGAAACGGCTTCACTTCACTGTGAACGACCTCGTGGGCTTTCAGTAACGACGACTGACTAAAGGCTTTTCCACACTGAGAACAGATGAAAGGCTTCACACCGGAGTGTTTTCTTAAGTGAAGGTTAAAGCTTGGTTTCTGTGTAAAACCTTTCCCACACTGCGGACATGTAAAAGGCTTCTCTTCAGCGTGAGTTTGCATGTGTTTCCCAAGGGCTCCTTTCTGCACGTAACTCTTCCCACACTGACTGCATGAGTAAGGCTTCTCTCCAGTGTGGATTCGGATGTGTTCTGTGAGACTTCCGCTTTGTTTAAACCCTACTCCACAGTAACTGCATGTGAAAGGTCTTTCTCCAGTGTGAATCCTTATGTGATCCTTAAGGCTTCCTTTGCATGTGAAACTCTTTCCACACTGAAGGCAGGTGCATGATGGCCTTTTAGCTTTAGATCTTTGAGGTCTTTTCTGAGAATCGTTCTTTCTAGTCTTTAAACCAGAAGATTTTTTTCTTCTTGTGATATTCTGAGTTTCTTCCTCTTCACTTTCCTCTTCACTCAGTTCGTCACTTTCCTCTTCCACTTTCATCAGATCTGAAAGGAAAAAATTAAATTAAATTCCCTTTTTCAAAAATACATTAAATTAAATATAAAATTTCATAGTAAAAAAAAATAATATTGTCAAAAGTGGCAATTCCTTAAGGATTATCAATACATTATAATATATTCACACAACACATTATTCTGTATATTTTCAATTATTGAGAATGAGGAGGTGACGTCACGCGTATAACTCCGCGGTGCATTGTGGGAGGGATCCGCCATTTTGGGAGGACACGCTATCCGTTGTCATGGTTACTTCGACCATGAGACTGAGAGAAATAGCGACAGAGAAGGAGTGCAGCTTGATATTTGTTTGCATTTTTGCGATAAGGCGCGGTTTCTTGGGAATAAATGAAGCAAAAGGAGAGGGTCTCTATCGGGAGAGACTATAACAAAGCTAAGCAGCGTTATTTAGAGAAACTGTTGGTGCTGTCAGTTTATCCACAAGCAGTTTTTCTAAATAAAGCTGTCTAGCTTTGTTATAAAACCACTTTAATTTCTCTTCCTTCTCCATATCTTACAAAGACACTGCCGTGTATCGCTAAAATGTAAACAAATACTGCGCTGTGCTGTCTCTCTCTCTCGCTATTTCTGGCATATTTAGTCGCGCCTCTGTGTAGTTCTGAAGGCGTTGCCCCTGGCAACCGATAGTGTATCCTCCCAAAATGGCCGACCGGCCCAGACCCCGCCCAAATCGGCACGTGACTCCTCACTCTCTCGACTGTTAAACCATTTCATGAGTTCATAGGTCATTCGGGAAATGTACGGCAGGGCAAAGCAGTGAGAAACAAGGAAACTGATCCAATGCGATTGTTAAAGTGTTCATAAATCATGCCCAATCAAAACACGTGTTTTTTTTTTTAATGCGGGATTTGTGTTTATGGTAAATATTAGTTAAACGTGTAGAAACACAGATTTCCAGATCGTCAGCTGAACTCACAGATCATGAAGACGGATCTCGTTTTAGATCGCGATATTAATGCGCGACGATCGTTATAGTGCACACACACACACACACACTCGCAGTTCCAGACACTATGATCATCGCTACTGAAGAAAGATCGCTAACCTGTCTGCTCCTCCTCAGTATCTTCTCCTTCACTCATGTCTTCTTCACGCTCCTCTTTAATAAACTCCGTCATCTCAGCAGGAGATTCAGCTGTTGCTCCTGGACTCGCTCTTCTCCAGTGTGTGTGTGTGTGTGTGTGTGTGTGTGTGTGTGTGTGTGTGTGATGGTCAGGAGGATCTGATCTGTGCTTATATCGAGGAACTGAAGCTCTGATGAATGGGGACTTCTTCTTTGTGAATGGACACTGTCGGGGTTTGAGTACGTAAGTTCTACTTTGTGTGTGTGTGTGTGTGTGTGTGCTGATGGGGGAGGAAACCAATCGAATTCCTTTCTCCACTTGTATGTGTGTGTGTGTGTGTGTGTGTGTGTGGATGGGGAGGGATCATAGATCAAAGGGGTCGATTTCTACACGGGGCGGGCTTTCCCTTTTACCACCAGAGCCATGCGTCTGTCTATGGGCTTTCCTAGATCCGAAGATCAAAGTATATTGTCATCAGGTTCCGGTTCCGCTCAGCAGAATAAGAGTCCTCCGCTGATGATGGCGCCTGTTTGTCATAAATAAAGAAATGCAGTCAAATGCAAAATTGAAATAGGTACTTTAACACATGGTCTGTGGTCATGTAGCAGACTGCAAAGATATTGGTCTCTGGTATTAGAGGAGATGGAAAGGATCTTTATTTTCCAACTAGATCGCACTTTTGTTGGGTAGGCTATACCGAAGAGATGCATTACTTCGTCTGCTAATAAGAAATTGTATAATATTCTTTCCTTTGCTGCCAGGAAAACTATTTTATTTATATAATATAATTAAAATATTTAACTGGATCAGTGATAAATCTCCTTCCCGGCTTAAAGGATGGTACAAGATCATTTTTGAGTTGATTCCCCGGAGTGCCTTATTACATGGGAAAACAGGCCAGATTTACCAAGTCTGGACCACATATCTGGACGCTTTGGAAAATTTTGTTTATTTTATTACAAGGAACATTGTAACTTTCTGGACTTTAAACCTTATTTTTGTCATTCTCTCCATCGTTTGTAAATGTTATTTTATACATGTTAAACATTATCTGTTGTTGCTATTTATTTTATTTTATTACACAAATTTGCATTATTATGGTATGGTCCTGTTTTATATAAAAAAAAATTATATATAAAAAAAGAGTTTTTATTTTTATTTAATTAACTTATTTATTTTTGGGGGTGGTTGATGTCTTGTTATATTTGTTTTGTACAAAAATTCAATAAAAAAAAAGAAATAAAAGAAATGCAGTCAGTGCTTAACTCACAGAGTTCAGTGAAAAAGCCAATATATTCACAGGCTATTCGAAGTTTCTGGATATTCGTGTGCTAAACGTTATTAAAACATAAACTACACTTGTTTACAGTCACAGTAACTTTGACAACGAGCTACAACACAATTTTCCTTAAATTGAGCTTTATAATATAAATTTGTCTCTAAAAACAGCCGATCGTACGGGACCGTATTGCATTCACTTGAAGAAGAAAACATCTACTCTGTTTTTCTGAATTAATTATCTCAGAATTACAAGATAATTTTTCAAAACAGAGAGAAAACGTTTTCCATGAAAAATGATCTAGTAATTCTGAGATAATTAATTCATTAATTCAGAAAAACAGAGTAGATTTTGTTTCCTCAAGTGAGTTCAATGTTGAGTATAGCTTTACTGAGACACTACTGTCTCCTCCAAATGCAACAGCACTGCCCTCCTGCTGGTTAAACCACAATACGAGTTTTAAACGTGTCTAATCACATTCGTTTTTGAAAAAAAAAATGCTTCATGATTATTTATTATTTAACAAAATCAATTTCACCCTTTTTAGAAAAAAATATTATAACTTCACACTGTTGTCCAGCTGCTGTTTTTAGAGGAGGTGAATAGTTTTACAGGACTTTAACCAAAGTACTTGAAGAGCCTCAAGAATAACAACAACTTAAGTTGTAAGTATTAGATAATATTGTTTTAAGCACATTTTAAGTGTTTTATGGGGCCACGACGTTTACGCAAAAAACATTATTTGACAAACATGCTGTGGATTTTGTATTATTATATCAAATAAATAAACTTGGTCAAACTTGTTGGCAAGAGAGAGAGAGAGATGTGGGATGAAGTGTGTGAGACTTTTCTCTCGTGGAAACACCGCCATCTTTCATTCAAGAGGATGAGGAAGAGCTGTCAATCATCTCCGGGCCCATCAACTGTGATAATCCATTATCATATCGGTGATGCCCCTTCTCTGCGGGCTGCATTATTAATGTAAATTATGATTTTATATGTAATGATATCTATTGGCTGCTGGAAATGTACAGGCGAACGGATGGTCGACGCATAAACAAGCAGTGTTGGGGATAACCCTCAGTATATGAGAAAACCAGTCGCCGTTGGTCCAGTGTGTGTGTGTGTGTGTGTGTGTGTTTTCTAGCTGACAGGTTGATGATTTCTCGGTGTCAGTCCACTATGGCGGAGGAGGATTTGCTCATGAATATTAAGCGCGTGACGGCACGTTCTCCTCACCGATTGGTTGACAGGCAAGACATTGGTTAGAGATCTGACCAATTAGCGGCTCCTCCTCGAGTGAAGGCGTGGGCTATGAATATTAATGAGGTTTCGTGACCAAGAGCTCCAGTAAACAGAGCGCGCGACTGCAGCCGGACTCGATTAATATTCATGAGCACGTGATTGTGATTGGCCGCTGATTGGTCGCGTCCTGCGCCAAGTGCATCGTAATGAGTGCGGCTGCGTTGCGGGGCGATTAATTTATCTTCGGAGAGAAAGACAACAGGATGAAATAGCGCGACATACAGATGTGTGTTTTCCGATCTGCGACAACAGCTCGCGTGTGTGTTCGTGTCAGGATTAGGCTGTTGCGGCTCTAAGGCGGCTCAGGTGGAGCAGGATAACGGTAAGTCTTTCCCTGCAGCGAGGCCGTCGATGACGTATTAAATCATAACATCCTAATGTCATCCGTGTAAATATAGAGCATCCCTCATGAATGAATGCACATCCCTTATTATTCTCGGTTTAAATGCATCTTCACCCCTTCTGTCATCAGTATAATGCATCTAGGCCTGCATCCCTTATAACGCGTTTAATACTCTATATTATCATTCTGTGGTTCTCCTGTGCCCTTGACAATCTGTGCTCGCGGACAGAAACAATTGCGCAATGTTTGTGTGTGTGTGTGTGTGTGTGTGTGTCTATAGCTGGATACGCGTGTCCTCCTCCTCTTCTAGCTCAGACTCTGCCGCATCTTCCTCCTCCTCATCATCATCATGGGGAACCGGGGCATGGAGGACCTGATCCCGCTGGTGAACCGGCTCCAGGACGCCTTCAGCTCCATCGGCCAGAGCTGTAACCTGGACCTGCCGCAGATCGCGGTGGTGGGCGGCCAGAGCGCCGGGAAGAGCTCCGTGCTCGAGAACTTCGTGGGGAAGTGAGTGATGATGATGGACATACTCCAACACAGACATTACGAAAATTAACCATGGTATTACAGAAAATACAACCAAAATACATGGTAATTACAGTTAAACTAAAAATTAACCATAGTTTTACAACAAAACAAAAAAAACATGGTTATTCTAATTAAACTACAAATTAATCATGGTATTTGTTGTAAAACTCAGGTTATACCAATGGTAAGAAATCTGCTAAAAAACTATGGTTACTACACTTTTACTATAATAAAACCATGGTTAATTTTCGTAAGGGAGGGTGCACACTTAATGACTGTCACATGACTACATTTATTACATTAGTTGCTATAGTATACATATCCTGCCAGGGCCGTGCACAGAGCTTTTTAGGGGCATGTGCGTGAACTGAAGAAGGGTGTTAGTGTGGAAGATCTCTTATGCACTACACTTTCCATAAAATAAGCCAGGAAAATAAATAAATAAATAAATAAATAGTGTGAAAGTACAGTTGCCGTGAAAAGCATTTCTGAAGGGTCGCGTGACACTGAAAAGGACTGAGCTGGAGTAAAGATGCTGACCATTCAGCTTTGACCACTGAAATAAATTACATTTTAAAATATATTCAAATAGAAAACAGTTATTTTAAATTGTAAAAATTTTAATCACAATATTACTGTTTTTGCTTATTTTGGATCAATAAATTAAGCCTATAGATGAAATTAGCTCGATAGCAAATACGTGCATATTAACAGCCTTGAATTAACCATAATTTAAACATGATTAAATGTTAATGAATTAAGTGTATCAGCAATCATAAATCAAAGAACACATTTCTTAGAGGTATATGTTGGGTAGGTGACGAGGATCACTCGTTCTTGGTGCAGTTCCAGTACGAACAGCGCGGGGGCGCACCTGTGCTAACGATCCTCCGACGGAAGCGGCGGCGGCGGCATCAGTACATCTTCATCAGCTTACCAACGAGATTGTTATAGCTATATATAGGCGCTTAGTTTTTCCTGGTGTAAAATACATTTGGTCAAAATCACATTTTATAAAAAATGAAATGTAACTGTATGCACAGGCTATTTAAGTGTAGGCTATGTAGCCTATTGTCTATGACTAGATGGCTTAGTCAGGCATCAAATAAAGATACAGTAATATGAGCTTTCATAGACAACATGTTTAGTACTTTATTCAAACAACAAGCTCTTTGTTTACCTTTGCAAACCTTCACTGCGGGGCTTCAGATGATTCGTTATCAGCTTTACTGACAGTTTGAGGATCGAACACGATTTACACAAACTCTTTTGAAGATCTTTCATTGGCTTAATATTTTTAAAACAGACAGAGAATTAAAGGGTGACCAATAGCATTGATTTATTGAAGACGATAAAAAACACCACCACCAAAACAAAGGGCCCTTCGGCAGGAAGTGTGTGTGCTCTCGAGCCCTACCTGATGGAGCTTTATCTGCACTAATAGAGCTGCGAGATTCAGTAGAAACTGACCATCACAATTTCTTTCTGTCTAAAATAAGATGAAATTTACGGAGGCGTATTGCATTCACTTGAAGAAAAAAAATCTACTCTGTTTTTCTGAATTAATGAGTTAATTTTTCATGAGAAAAAAAAAATTTTCTCTGTTTTTCTGAATGAATGAGTTAATTTTTCATGGAATTTTTTTTTGCTCTGTTTTTCTGAATTAACGAGTTAATTCAGAAAAAACAGCAAAAACTTTTTTTCTCACGAAAAATTAACTCATTAATTCAGAAAAACAGAGTAGATTTTTTTTCTTCAAGTGAATGCAATACGCCTCTGTAGAAATTGCTGTAGTGCATTTTAAAATATTAAATTTAATGGAATTATTATTGTTTATTTATTTTTTAAATTGTTTTTTAATAAATTATTCAATGAGTGATTAATTATTGGATGAAACAATGGTTGTTCAAAAATGTGCCGCCACCTACTGGTGGAACTCTGTAATGAGAAAATCGTTATTAACCACTTATTGGAGTTACTTTCAAAAGGGGATTTACTCTATTACATCTGTGTTTATATCCTATAACTAGTATAAACTATAAACTTTTATCTCAGTACTTAATAATCTGAATTATTGGTACTGTGTGCTTGAAAAAACTGTTTCATACGATACATGACAGCGGCTCCGCACAGCGAACACAGATCTCAAAAGTTCCTGTGATCCGGCTTGTCAAAGGTTTAATAGACAGAGATGAACCGCTGTCATTTAGGAATAAGATCATGTGGGTGTTTGAATCAAGATCGCGATCATGAAACGATAAAAAGAACGTTACATGGTGATTTATGTGGGCAATAACACTGAAAATCACTCCCACGTTGTGTATCAGTACATGAAGGCCTAACCTGAGTGATAATTTGGGCTCAACTAGGTTTAAATCAGGAATAGGAGAGGTCCGAGGAGTGAACCCTGGGGTACGCCTCTGGAAACTGAGGCAGCATGGGACTTTAGTTTGTTAATACAGACACACACCTGCCTGTCACTGATATAAGATGTCAGCCGTTGGATACTGGACAGATGAAGGAGGGTTAAATTATGGCAAACGGTGTCATAAACAGCTCGACCGTGGGCTCCTTTCTGGTCCCATTACTATGGGAGTCAGTATTAGCCGGGCTGCTGGGTTACCCCTGCGACAGTAGAGTATGAATGACTCTTATAGCCAGTGACACGGTTCTGTGTTTCAGGGATTTCCTTCCTCGTGGATCTGGCATCGTCACCCGCCGGCCTCTGGTTCTGCAGCTCGTCAACTCCAACACAGGTGACGCCCAGCTCCACTTTACTCAGTGTCTCGGGCCGAGGGCCATTAACATGCCTGTGTCTGTGTCGTCCTGGCTCTACAGAGTGGGCTGAGTTCCTGCACTGCAAAGGGAAGAAGTTCACGGATTTCGATGAGGTCCGGCAGGAGATCGAGGCCGAGACGGACCGCGTCACTGGGGCCAATAAGGGCATTTCCCCCATTCCCATCAACCTGAGGGTGTTTTCCCCACACGGTACTGGAGCGTACTCATAAACACACATGCACTCTCCGAAACATGCAGTCGCATGCAAATCAGAGACACCCCTAAACATAACTAATCTTTCGTCTAAGGAAGTGTACAGGTAGACAGAGTTGTCAGAGGTTAGAAAGAATATGTGTTGGGGTTCTTGCATTGCTCTTACAGTGTTTGTTAGGTTTCTCTGCTGTGCACGCCTCTTCCTCGCTCCATCTGTCCTCTCCTCTCTGTGCAGTGCTGAATCTGACCCTCATTGACCTGCCTGGCATCACTAAAGTGCCGGTGGGCGACCAGCCGGTGGACATCGAGCAGCAGATCCGAGACATGATCATGCAGTTCATTTCCCGAGAGAGCTGCCTAATCCTGGCCGTCACCCCGGCCAACACTGACCTGGCCAACTCCGACGCGCTCAAACTGGCCAAAGACCTCGACCCGCAGGGTGTGTGAGACACACACACACACACACACTGACCTGGCCAACTCCGACACGGGCCTCACACTGTTCTCTGCGGTTCCCCCTCTTACAGCAACTATCAAGTCAAGCTCTAAATGGGTTCAGACATGCTTTCTCTGGGCGATAAGTAATGGCACAGATACCACGAAACCTTAGTAAATCACATTTTAAGATTTATTTACATTCTCTCCTCTCATAAATGTACACTCTGAAAGGGAAACTCCTACAAAGGCATCACAATGAGGTCAGTCACAACAATAACCCTGTAAATCTTAGTAAATCCTGACAGTGGTTTTATAAAATTGCAAATGAATTCCTTATGTTTAAACCAATAAGATGAAGGGTTGTTGTGTGGTTTACTGGTAAGACAGGGGCATTAATACCTGTTACAAAGATCCGTAACCACAGTACAGTGGTTTAGTACAGCTGTCTGCTGGTCAACACAGGAGTCATGTGATCTCTTGATTGTGCGTCTTTACAGGCCAGAGGACGATCGGCGTGATCACGAAACTAGATCTGATGGATGAAGGGACGGACGCTCGAGACGTTCTGGAGAACAAGCTCCTGCCACTACGCAGGGGTAAGAACCACCTTTCTTCCCGTCTAATGTCTTACCTTTTTCCGGGTGGGGCCAATAGCCTCGGATCTCAAGCACCGAGCCCAAACTCGACATGTGTTTCCACTGTTGGGCTGCTTATAGGCCCGAAAACGCCACTATAGAACGACTATATCTGGGGTGAATTCTCTAAACGCTTGTATGTATTCAGCCCAAAAACGTCCACTCTCCAGTTTAGTCTGGATTAAGTGTGCTAAAACAACTGTGGTGTGAGTATTAGATTCACCCACGGTTGTTCTTTTCAAATGCCTGAGTAACGGTGTCTGATGCTCAATCTCCAGGTTATATTGGGGTGGTGAACCGCAGTCAGAAAGACATCGATGGGAAGAAGGACATCAAAACGGCTATGGCAGCGGAGAGGAAGTTCTTCCTCTCTCATCCGTCCTACAGGCACCTGGCGGACATCATGGGAACGCCATACCTGCAGAAGGTCCTCAATCAGGTACGGCTGCGGTCAGTCAATCAAGCTCTGTCATGTGACTCCAGATACTAAAGAACTGCTCTGAATGAGATCACTGTTTGATTTGTAATTTACAGCAACTGACCAACCACATCCGGGACACTCTGCCGGCCTTCCGAAGTAAACTGCAGTCGCAGCTGCTGGCGCTGGACAAAGAGGCGGAGGAGTACCGTCACTACCGGCCTGACGACCCCTCACGCAAGACCAAAGCCCTTCTGCAGTGAGTACCTCGACTCTCGACTCCGCCCGCCTCTCACGGCTCGACTCTCGACTCCACCCGCCTCTCACGGCTCGACTCTCGACTCCACCGCCTCTCACGACTCGACTCTCGACTCTGCCCGCCTCTCACGGCTCGACTCTCGACTCTGCCCGCCTCTCACGGCTCGACTCTCGACTCCGCCCGCCTCTCACGGCTCGACTCTCGACTCCACCCGCCTCTCACGGCTCGACTCTCGACTCCACCCGCCTCTCACGGCTCGACTCTCGACTCCACCCGCCTCTCACGGCTCGACTCTCGACTCCGCCCGCCTCTCACGGCTCGACTCTCGACTCCGCCCGCCTCTCACGGCTCGACTCTCGACTCCGCCCGCCTCTCACGGCTCGACTCTCGACTCCGCCCGCCTCTCACGGCTCGACTCTCGACTCCGCCCGCCTCTCACGGCTCGACTCTCGACTCCGCCCGCCTCTCACGGCTCGACTCTCGACTCCACCCGCCTCTCACGGCTCGACTCTCGACTCCACCCGCCTCTCACGGCTCGACTCTCGACTCCGCCCGCCTCTCACGGCTCGACTCTCGACTCCGCCCGCCTCTCACGGCTCGACTCTCGACTCCGCCCGCCTCTCACGGCTCGACTCTCGACTCCGCCCGCCTCTCACGGCTCGACTCTCGACTCCGCCCGCCTCTCACGGCTCGACTCTCGACTCCGCCCGCCTCTCACGGCTCGACTCTCGACTCCGCCCGCCTCTCACGGCTCGACTCTCGACTCCGCCCGCCTCTCACGGCTCGACTCTCGACTCCACCCGCCTCTCACGACTCGACTCTCGACTCTACCTGCCTCTCACAGCTCGACTCTCGACTCCACCCGCCTCTCACGGCTCGACTCGACTCTCGACTCCGCCAGCCTCTCACGACTCGACTCTCGACTCCACCCGCCTCTCACAGCTCGACTCTCGACTCCACCCGCCTCTCACGGCTCGACTCTCGACTCCACCCGCCTCTCACGACTCGACTCTCGACTCCACCCGCCTCTCACGGCTCGACTCTCGACTCCACCCGCCTCTCACGACTCGACTCTCGACTCTACCCGCCTCTCACAGCTCGACTCTCGACTCCACCCGCCTCTCACGACTCGACTCTCGACTCTACCCGCCTCTCACAGCTCGACTCTCGACTCCACCCGCCTCTCACGGCTCGACTCTCGACTCCACCCGCCTCTCACGGCTCAACTCTCGACTCTACCCGCCTCTCACAGCTCGACTCTCGACTCCACCCGCCTCTCACGGCTCGACTCTCGACTCCACCCGCCTCTCACGACTCGACTCTCGACTCCACCCGCCTCTCACGGCTCGACTCTCGACTCCACCCGCCTCTCACGACTCGACTCTCGACTCTACCCGCCTCTCACATCTCGACTCTCGACTCCACCCGCCTCTCACGGCTCGACTCTCGACTCCACCCGCCTCTCACGGCTCAACTCTCGACTCTACCCGCCTCTCACAGCTCGACTCTCGACTCCACCCGCCTCTCACGGCTCGACTCTCGACTCCACCCGCCTCTCACGGCTCGACTCTCGACTCCACCCGCCTCTCACGGCTCGACTCTCGACTCCACCCGCCTCTCACGGCTCGACTCTCGACTCCACCCGCCTCTCACGGCTCGACTCTCGACTCCACCCGCCTCTCACGGCTCGACTCTCGACTCCACCCGCCTCTCACAGCTCGACTCTCGACTCCACCCGCCTCTCACGACTCGACTCTCGACTCCACCCGCCTCTCACGGCTCGACTCTCGACTCCGCCCGCCTCTCACGGCTCGACTCTCGACTCCGCCCTCCTCTCACTGCTCGACTCTCGACTCCGCCCGCCTCTCACGGCTCGACTCTCGACTCCACCCGCCTCTCACGGCTCGACTCTCGACTCCACCCGCCTCTCACGGCTCGACTCTCGACTCCACCCGCCTCTCACGGCTCGACTCTCGACTCCGCCCGCCTCTCACGGCTCGACTCTCGACTCCACCCGCCTCTCACGGCTCGACTCTCGACTCCGCCCGCCTCTCACGGCTCGACTCTCGACTCCACCCGCCTCTCACGGCTCGACTCTCGACTCCACCCGCCTCTCACGGCTCGACTCTCGACTCCACCCGCCTCTCACGGCTCGACTCTCGACTCCACCCGCCTTTCACAGCTCGACTCTCGACTCCACCCGCCTCTCACGGCTCGACTCTCGACTCCGCCCGCCTCTCACGGCTCGACTCTCGACTCCACCCGCCTCTCACGGCTCGACTCTCGACTCCACCCGCCTCTCACGGCTCGACTCTCGACTCCACCCGCCTCTCACGGCTCGACTCTCGACTCCACCCGCCTCTCACGGCTCGACTCTCGACTCCACCCGCCTCTCACGGCTCGACTCTCGACTCCACCCGCCTCTCACGGCTCGACTCTCGACTCCGCCCGCCTCTCACGGCTCGACTCTCGACTCCGCCCGCCTCTCACGGCTCGACTCTCGACTCCACCCGCCTCTCACGGCTCGACTCTCGACTCTATGCATAACTCAAAGTGTGTCTCATACAAGTTCACAACGTGTTCTAGTCAAGATGTACATAAAGCACTCTTGCCTCTTAACTAGTGAACCTGAATCACATGACAGTTGCTGTACAACTGAAGTTTAGAGTTGAATTGGACGGTCATCACTGTCCTGTATGGCTGAGGGAGTACGTCTCGAAAACGGGATCGCCAGTTTTTTCTTCAGTTAGCTTTACTTGCCAGTATCCATTTCCTTTCATAATTCGAGTTATTATCCAAGTTGGTCTTTGCATGAATGTTTATTAGCGAGCCAGTTCAGTCACAGCAGAGCGGCTCTATGAACAGACCACACACACACACCTGTATGTCGGGAAACTGCAGATATCTATTTGTGTTTGCGACAGGATGGTTCAGCAGTTCTCGGTGGACTTTGAGAAGCGCATCGAAGGCTCTGGCGATCAGGTGGACACCGTCGAGCTGTCGGGTGGAGCCAAGATCAACCGCATCTTCCACGAGCGCTTCCCCTTTGAGCTGGTCAAGGCAGGTGTCGGCACACACTCTCTACACGTTACCATTTCGCATTTTCTTACTTCTTCATCCAAAGTGTTCTTGTGTTTCGTGACGCAGATGGAGTGCGATGAGAAGGAAATGCGTCGGGAAATCAGCTACGCCATCAAGAACATTCATGGCATCAGGTGAGTTTTACTCGTTCATATGTTGATTGAGAGTGTGTCACAAATCCTCTTTAGGTTATTGTAGACCCATGGGTTTTATGATCAGATGTGTATTATAAGTGAGGCCCTTGTGGTGCTCGTTTGTGACGCAGGACGGGTTTGTTCACTCCGGACATGGCCTTTGAGGCGATTGTGAAGAAGCAGGTTGTGAAGATAAAGCAGCCGTGTATTAAATGTATTGACCTGGTGGTTCAGGAGCTGATCAACACAGTCCGTCAGTGCTCCAATAAGGTAAACAAGTCTGAATAAAACACATCTGCACTGACCAATCAGCATCCAGCTTTAATTATTATTATTGTATTGTTTATTTTCTGCATATTCAGCTGGATTCTTTCCCAACCCTGCGAGAGGAGACAGAGCGCATTGTCACAACTCATATCCGTGACAGAGAGAGCAAAGCCAAAGAGCAGGTACGGTATGCCTGGATATCTGAGATTTTGGCTCTGTAATGAGATTTCTGCTCTGTGCAGACACTGTATGTGCATCTGTACGTCTCTGCAGGTTTTGCTGCTGATTGACGTTCAGTTGGCATACATTAACACCAACCATGAGGACTTCATTGGCTTTGCAAAGTATGTACAACTCTAGTAGAAAATGTTGCCTGAGCACATGCTTCGACACGTTCTGATTGCATAAACATACGTATTAGATATGTAATGTTTCGTCTGCATGTCATATTCACCATTGCTTTCTCTCTCAATCAGTGCTCAGCAGCGAAGTAACCAAGCAAACAAGAAGAGTTCTGCTGGAAACCAGGTCGGTGTCCAAAATGTGCATTTGTGACGGCCATATTCAAAGTTCTGTCATGAAACTCAGGCTGACATGTCCGTAACTTACTCAGCTTGCAATCACATCATTCTCTATAGGGCACAGCTGATTGGCTCCTAATGAGCTTGCTACTTAACTTTCAAATACTCGGGTCAGCATTTGCGTTCAGAAACCCTCCACCTTCCCCAGCTCCACCTGTATAGATATGCTACTGGTAAGGCTGTGGGTAAAAATGTAAGCTATATTGTACAGAAGCAGCATGTCTACTTGCTCACAGCAGCGTGGCGTGTATGTTTTGGCATTAGCAAGTCCTGTACCGCAGCAGTAATACCATATTTTGCCAAGAGCAAACACATCAAACACAGAGTTGTCATGACAGAACGTAGTTTTTTTGTTGCTGTTTGACGTGCTTTGACTTTCTTTCTGCTCTGCTTCTATTACCTTCATTTATCCACTGCAGGATAAATGTCCTTCAGTTTTGATCATGTGATGGACATTTTAAGTGTGTGTGTTTCTGTTCTGAAAAACACGTGTCATGTTTTCTTCACCTCCCTCCTGCATGACGAGCTGCTGTCTTTTCCCTCAGGAGCTCCAGGTAAGAGCGACCGTGTTGTTTCTGCCGTGTGTGTGTGTCGTAGACTGTGTGTGATGAGAGAGACGAACTCCTCTGGGGTTCTCACTCAGGTCCTGTGTGTGTCCTCATCACTTTAATTTAGCGTGACGTGTCACCTTTGTGTGTTATATTTCCTATTGCCGTTCCCATGGCTCTCTCTCTGACACGATGCTGAGCTCTGATTGATATTATGTTTTGATTGATACGGTGAAGCTGATTTGATGCGTAGACTTGACATCACACAATGATTGTGGGCTGTATAAAAACACATTTGTAGAACTAAAGGGCTGTCAAGTGTTTGCCATTAATCAATAAACTAGATCTCCCTCAGATTCCCAATGAACCAGAAATCCTCAAAATAACATTAAAAGCAAAATTATGTATCATATTTCAGGATCAGCTGTGCCAGTTCTCAGGCAGTCCTCGTTAAGCTTTAGTGTAGTGTGGTGAAGTTGGCGATTGGTTGCAGTGATGAGACGTAAGCGATGCTGTAATGGGTCCAGGTTACGGAGCATGTGTGTGTGTGTGTGTCTCTTCAGGCCTCGTCTCCTCCAGCTTCGGGCATCATTGTAAGCATCGGGTTCTTGTGTGTGTGTGATAGTAACTGCACTGGAGGTGAAGAATGTCTGCATGCGTCAGAGAGAACATGTAGTTCCACATCTACACTCCATACCCCATAAACCCCGAAAGATTGCGTTCAGACCCTCTGCTGTGGCACTGTCAGCTCTAGGTAATCTTTCAGAAGTTTCTACACTCTGATTGGAGTATAAAATCCGACACGCAAGACTGTCTCAATCAAACATTTGTGGAGAGGTCTGGAAATCACGTCATCCAACCGGACAGAGCCTGAGAAAACCAGCTGATGTTCAAAACTTGTGGCGTCAAACCGGGACGAATATCATACTTCGCCAGCGTTTTTCAACGCGTTTTTTGTGTTCGCACCCAAGCGATTTTCGCTGACGATGAGCCGAGTGAACATGCTAACTCATTCCCTGACATTAGATGGCGCCCATTTGCTCTGCAATACCACATCAAGATTTTTATTTAAGATATTAAGATCGCTCCTGCATACTAGTCCATAGGCTTCTTGAGGGAATGACTCGAAAAGTCATTAAAGACATCGTTAAAATAGTCGAAGTGACTACAGCGGCTCGATCTTAAGTTTATCAAACGACGAGAACACTTTTTGTGCGCCAAAACAAACAAAAATAGCGACTTTATTTCAACTATTCACTTCCTTCTCCATGGGCCTGTAGTCAGTTAACGTAGTGTGATTGCGTAGAGCTACGTCACACGTAGGCTCGCTATTGGCCGACGCTGGTCGTGTGTGTGTGATGCGTGTGACGTACAATAACAGAAGCTTACGCTATTAAACTAGTAACTTGACTCGCGCAGAGGGAGAAATAAACTAATAGTTGAAATAAAGTCGTTATTTTTGTTTGTTTTTGCGCACAAAAAGTGTTCTCGTCGTTTGATAAAGTTAAGATTGAGCCCCTGTAGTCACTTAGACTATTTTAACGATGTCTTTAATGACTTTTCGAGTCATTCCCTCAAGAAGCCTATGGACTAGTATGCAGGAGCGATCTTAATATCTTAAATATCTTAATTTGTGTTCTGAAGATGAACGAAGGTCTTACGGGGTTGAACAACATGAGGGTGAGTAAATACTGACAGAATTTTCATTTTTGGGTGAACTAACCCTTTAAAAGATGGCGCTTTTACACGTCGACGTGCACACTCACATTGGCGCCCTTTGTTTAGTCACGAGGCGTTAAACGTCGGCGAAATTCGTCCCGGTGTGAGCAGGCCTTGAGGATGGCAATCGCTGCCGAAGGTGCTTCAGCTGAGGGTCTGAATACTTATGCAATGAAATATGTCGTTTCTTTAATAGATTTGGCCATTATGTGTAGCTGAGTGTAGATGAATGGGAATGTGACGGGCTCTGAACACTTCCTGAAAGCACCGTCCTCGAGCACTGCACTCGCTCATGCTCACTGATGTCTCGTGTGTCTCAGAGACACGTCAGACGCATGCCTGAGACCGCATTCACTCTGCTGAAAATACCTACCATTAATGAAATACAGTAATGAAAGTCAGCTGTAATCCTGGATGCTGATTGGGCGACACTGCATTCCAGTTGATTCCCCCATATAGTGACTTTGGCTTTGGCTCTTTTATCGTATCACTGCGGATCTGCCAGAGCTGGTCAGTGTTGTGTTTATGAATGCTTTCTGTAGTAACACACTACACCAGTAGGTGGAGACACGAGACCGTCGGCCCCGGTTCTCTCATACTCTATTCTCTATTTCTACAATACTAACGGCTTAGACAAGTATTTTACACGTCTTATTTCACCTGCACCTTTAGACGTGCCTAGACTTTACTCGTCCACACTTTGCATTGATCAGTGTCGTGAGTGTGTGTGTTGATCAGTGTTTCTGCATGTCGCCGAGTTTGCGATGTGACTCGTCTCGTTTGCTCCGTCAGGTCATCCGGAAGGGCTGGTTGACCATCAATAACATCAGCATCATGAAGGGCGGAGCGAAGGAGTACTGGTTTGTGCTGACCGCCGAGAGCCTGTCCTGGTTCAAAGACGACGAGGTGAGCGCTTTCGTCCTGATGTATCGTCCTGAATAATCACTGGCTTCCGCTTGTCAGCCTTTGCCAAGCAAACATATAGCCCCACCCCCAAGCCCACGCCATTGGTCTAGTCAGTGTTGACACACTTACACATTTGCAAACAGTTCAACCTTCGAGTGTCATTTGAACTGTTAGACACTTTCACAAATAATTTCACATCGATAGTTCATTCCCAGAAGCCGTTGCAGTAGTTGCTTGAGTTTATAAAGAGAGTGTGATGACACCAGGAGTGAGTATCAAACACTGCTGCTGATCCCACAGGAGAAGGAGAAGAAGTACATGCTGCCCTTGGACAATCTGAAGGTCAGAGACGTGGAGAAGAGCTTCATGTCCAGCAAGCACATGTTCGCCATCTTCAACACAGAGCAGCGGTGAGTGCCTATGTAATAAATGACTTGAAACACAATAAATGCAGTCATGAATTTACCTTAGCATGTTAGACTCAAGAAATTTCAAGGTTTTCATTTTCGAAGGCTTGTTTTCCCTCAGGAACGTCTTTAAGGACAGTCGTTTCCTGGAGCTGGCCTGCGACACCCTGGAGGAGGTGGACAGTTGGAGGGCGTCGCTCCTGCGGGCCGGAGTCTATCCAGAGAGGGCCGTGGTGCGTAACGGCTCATGTCTGAGACATCACTTAATGTCACTTACTGAGATACGCCTCAGAATCTGAGGTCACGATACGTTGGTCACTTTGTGTCCCTTGGCTCTTCCTGCCAGGTGGAGAGCGATAGTTCTGGTCAGTCGGAGAACTTCTCCATGGATCCTCAGCTGGAGAGGAAGGTGGAGACCATCCGCAACCTGGTGGACTCCTACATGGCCATCGTCAACAAGTGCATCCGGGACCTCATGCCCAAGACCATCATGCATCTCATGATCAATAATGTAAGCAACACTTGGATTCCTGATGGTTTTGGAGCCTCATTCCCAGAATTGCCTCAACATTGTTAATCAGAAAGAGTTGGCTCTTGGAAAGTGTGCTTGATACACTCGCGTGTTGGAATAAGAGCATAACCCCTGAGTGTGCTGTATTTGCATGATAATATGGTGAACAGCATGCTCTTCTTCCTCAGGTGAAAGACTTCATCAACGCAGACCTTCTGGCCCAGCTGTACTCGGCCGGAGACCAGAACTCCCTGATGGACGAGTCTCAGGAGCAGGTCCAGCACAGGGAAGAGGTGCTGCGCACACACCATGCCCTGAAGGAGGCGCTGGGCATCATCGGGGATATCTCCACCTCCACCATCACCACCCCGCTGCCGCCTCCCGTGGACAGCTCCTGGCTGCAGGCCGGGCAGGGCGGCTCTCGGAGGTAACTCGCGCTCACAGTCTGATAGGCTTCAATCGTGGATGAGAAAACGGCTCTTTAATGTTCAAGAGTCAAAAGGGGTGCCCTGGGGTCGTCTTTGCCTGTGCCTCAACCACAAAGGACTGTGAACATGCGAGATGATCCGTATGTGGAGTTGTGTCACAAAACCTTGGAAAGAAAGGGGAGGTTTGAGATAGGCCTGATAGGTCAGACTTATCACATCCAGGCTTTATAAGGACTGGTGTAATGGCTGCAACCTTTAGGACTTTTGGAACAATACCAGTTGTAAGAGAGGGGTTCACAATGCTACAGGTGAGGGGACTAGTTGAAGAGAGACACCCCTTAAGAACAGATGCTGGGATAGGGTCAAGGGTACTATTCATTGCCATCACCAATTTTGAAATATAATCAGAAGTGACCATGTTTAAGTTGGAGAATGGAGATTTAGGAAAGATAATTGGATAGGTCTCAGGAAGTGCAGAGCAAGGTCTTGTAGATGCTTAATATGTTTTCCATAAATATAATATTTATTACACTCCTGCACAGAGGAACAGATTGATGGCTTGATTGGTGCAAGAAGTTTGTTGACCGTCTTAAAAATCTTGTTTGGATTTGCGGCACCGTCCCTAATGACAGACGAGTAGTACTCTGTTCTTGCTGTTTGGAGTGCTTCAGCATATTGACATAAAAAATCATCATACATTAGCTTATGGACAGTTATTGGTGTTCAAGCTGTCTGATTTTCGCCTTAAGAGCCCTGAGCTCAGTGGTGTACCAAGGAGATGTACTTAGGAGATTTCTCTCCTAAGGGCTAACATGTCCAAAGCAGAATTGTAGTGATCAACCGTTAAATACTCTGATATCAAGCAATAAAATAAATTAATATTTCTGACATTTCTAAAACTAATGCCCCTCTTTTGAGCATTTCTTAAAGATGGAACATTCAAGTTAAAAAGGTATCTACCTTATCATGATGAAATCCAAATGTTGAAGGACCCGCTCTCCACGAAGCCCAGACAGGGTCAAAATGATGATGACAATATAGCAGGGAAAGCCGCATGATAGAAGCAGAGAAGTCCAGTTTGACCTAAAGAACGAGGAGTTCCAGCTATAGGCACATTTGTTCTGGTCCTCCTTAGCTGTGGGCATCTCTTGTTCTGTAGGTCTCCTCCGGCCAGTCCCTCGGCTCCACGTAGGATGTCTGCAGGCCAGAGGCCGGCCGGTAGGGGTGCCCCTCAGCCTCCGACCCGTCCAGGGCCTTTAGGGCCCTTGAATAACAGCGCTGACAGCCCACAAGTTCCCAGTCGGCCCAACAGGGCCCCACCTAGCATTCCCAGGTGAGACCTGAGCCGACCGCCTTACCTTGTGTCTGAATGCAGAATAGGGCCTTGAATGTCCGCTTTCTCTTACAGCTCTTACCTCTTTTCTGTTTCTAATCTTATTAAAACCTTCCTCACACAAACACATGCTAAAGCATTGCAAGTGTACAGTACATTGGCTTATAATCTTTCCCTGCCAGCGTTTTTGAAAAGAGTTGCCAGCCACGTCAGAATTTTACCGCCCCCAGAATAATTAGTTGTATGAAGATCTGAGCATCCACTATATACTTACCTTATGAATTGTGTTTTGACAAATTTCGATCCGTAACAATGCATGAAATCAAGCGTTCTTGTCTGGTTACACCAGTGTCCACATACTTGTCCCTAGACCCTGTTTTCGTACCCTTGTTAGACGCTACGATCGTTCACTACACTAGGTTTTACGAGATTGGCTAAATCTATGTGCGATGCTAGTGCAGCTGTGCCATCTGTGTGTCAACAGATTAAATAGTTGAGAAAGATAACGCATGTTGTGTAACCGTATATTGGATCCGTGCATAAACTCTTAAAGGGACAGCAGCCTAATATTCCTGCTGCTCTCTGTCATGTAAATGCCAGAACAAAAGACAAAGAACACCACTTGCTGCTCTTGACTGAAAGAGTTTCATAACTTTAGTTGTAAATATTAATCTGTATTATTTTTTTACAATGAAGACCATCCAGTGTTATTTTACATTTGATTACTTTAACTTTTATAGTATTCGTTACCTGAATAATAACCTACTGTTAGACCCACCTGAAAAACTTTGTGCCGTGTTTATTTAATAGCATTTATTTGTGCTGTTTCTAGCAATTAGTTACTTAATTACTGACTTTTTACTTGTGTTTTTTTATGAAAATAAAATTTAGCGTTGAAGAAAATTACATTTTTGTTTGTATATACTGCCAATTATAGTTCGTATCGAAATCGTCAAAAATCGGTATCGGCAGGTCACAAAAAAAAATCACACATGGGATTCGGCCAAGTGCAATTCTACTATTTCCGTGCCCTAGGCGCTACGATCGTTCACTACACTGCAGATTTTACGAGATTGGCTAAATCTACATGTGATCTCCATGCTAGTGCGACAGTAACAGACTGACTGTGTTTTCCACTTAAAGTTCTACAGACACTAACTCTGTCTTTTTGTCTCTTACTCCTCCATCCATTCCATCAACCCTTCCTCAACGCTTCTGCTGTCCACCTTCCTCTTCTTCCTATTCCTCTTCGTCCTCTCCCTCTTTCGCCTCTTCCTCTCCCTCCCCTTCCTCCTCTTCCTTTTCTCCCTCACTCTTCCTCCTCTCCCTCCTCTTCCTGTCCCTCCTCTCCTCCCCTCCCTCTTCCTCCTCTTCCTCCTCTCTCTCCCTCTTTTCCCTCCCTTCCCTCTTCCTCCTCTCCCTCCTCCTCCCCCCTCTTCCTCCTCTCCCTCTTTCTCCTCTTCCTCTTCCTCCTCTTCCTCCTCTTCCTTTTCTCCCTCACTCTCTCTCCTCTCTCTCTCTTCCTCCTCTCCCTCCTCCTCCCCCCTCTTCCTCCTCTCCCTCTTTCTCCTCTTCCTCTCCCTCCCCTTCCTCCTCTTCCTCCCTCTTCCTCCTCTTCCTCTCCCTCCTCCTCTGTCTCTCCCTCATCTTCCTCCTCTCTCTCTCTCCCTCCTCCTCTTCCTCTCCCTCTTCCTCCTCTCCCTCCTCTCCCTCTTCCTCCTCTCCCTCCTCCTCCTCTCTCTCCCTCCTCCTCTCCCTCCTCCTCTTCCTCTCCTCTTCCTCCTCTCCCTCTTTCTCCTCTTCCTCTCCCTCGCCTTCCTCCTCTTCCTCCTTTCCCTCGCTCTCTCTCCTCTTCCTCCTCCTCTCTCTTCCTCCTCTCTCCCCCTCCTCCTCTTCCACCCCCTCTTCCACCCCCCCCCCTCCCTCCCTCTTCCTCCTCTCCCTCCTCCTCCTCCCCCCTCTTCCTCCTCTCCCTCTTCCTCCTCTTCCTCCTCTCCCTCGCTCTTCCTCCTCTCTCTCCCTCCTCCTCTTCCACCCCCTCTTCCTCCTCTCCCCCCTCCCCCCCCCTCTTCCCTCCTCTTCCTCCTCTCCCTCTTTCTCCTCTTCCTCCTCTTCCTCCTCTCCCTCGCTCTTCCTCCTCTTACTCTCCCCCTCTTCCTCCCTTCTCTCCCTCCTCTTCCTCCTCTCCCTCGCTCTTCCTCCTCTTCCTCTCCCTCCTCCTTTGTTTCTCCCTCCTCTGTCTCTCCCTCCTCCTCCTCTTCCTCCTCCCTCTCCCTCCTCTTCCTCCTCTTCCTCCTCTCCCTCCTCTTCTCCCTCCTCTACCTCCTCTCCCTTCTCCTCTCCCTCCCTCTTCCTCCTCTTCCTCTCCCTCCTCCTCTCCCTCCTCCTCTCGCTCCTCTCGCTCCTCTAACCCAGTCGGCGTCCCCCCCCCTCCCCCACCCGACAGGTCCCGCCGTAGGAGGCCCCGGGGCCGCAGTCTTTGCTCCTGGAGCGAGTGTACTGTTCCAGGCCCATTCTCATGTGATCCGTCCACCGGCGTCTCCTGCATGTGCTGTCCATCTAGTGTCCTTCACACTGGCGTGACCGTGGCCGTGGTGTCTGTGATAGCAGTGCTCGTCGTGTGTTGTGTGTCAGTGCCTGTGATTCAGTCCGAGTCTCTTTCCTACACTAGTCTTCTTCATCCAGGCTCTTCTTCTTCCCTGCTGTTATCATCCCCTTTCCCGACGGCACTGACCTCCCCAGCCATGCATGCGTGTTTATTTCAGGGTGTTGTGTGTGTGTGTGCATATAGTGTGTGAGTGATATATCTTAGGATAAGCCGGGAAGTGTGTGTGTGCCTGAATTTAATGATAAATGTGTACAATAATTTAAGATTATGTGATATTTATGTTCTGATAGTAGACATTTAAATTATTGCTGTTTTTTATGTTAATGTTGTTATGTTAATGTTTGATTCACTTTACGGTGTGTTCACACTTGGCAGGTTTGGTTCGATTAAAGCTAACTCTGGTGCGATTTCTCTGTTCGTGAGGTTTGGTGTTAAAAACGACGCTAAGCGAACCGAGACTAAATGCAGCGCCGGACCAAAAGAAGCAGGAGAACCGAACTACGAGTGTGAACACACAAATGCTCACATCTTTAGGTCTGCAAACACTTTTATGATCATCCTCTTGAATAGCGCCACCTGCTTGCAATACTAGTTCATGACAGATAATGTAAATGTTCAACCAAAGTTCACCACAACATTACTCTGCAATAAACACAGCCGTAGTTTTGAGTCTGTTCTTGTGTTAGTGAGATTTATTTGCTACTCTACTCGTGTTCAGTAACTTCAACGCAAAGCTCTTCCTTTGAGGACTAGTTAAGGATGTAAGTCAAGCGTGCAGGAACTGCTGATGTATGATCTCTAATTATTAACATGAATATGTGGATATATTATCTGTAGGTGTGTGAATCAGATGGTTTAACCGGATGTAATGGTGTGTGATGCAGTAGAGTCAGTGACATTTAAACTAGTCCTCCTGGTATAAACCCACGGGACGGAGACTGAACTCAAGCTGGGTTTCCGTATACTGAGGGTCACATGCTGAACAAGCGGAGGCCATCTTAGAGCTTGAGAAACCTCGTTTCCGCCACAGAATAAAACATTTTAAAAGACTTTTTATCTCACAATTGTGAGTTTACATCTCTCCATTCTGACACTTGCGTGTAATAAAGTCAGAATTGTGAGATAAAAGGTGGCGATGGCCTTTTTGTAAGTTGATCTGTGGCGTGAACAAGCGAGAGCAGAGAACAGCAGATCCGCCGCCGGCTGCAGAAACCAGGAGTCTTTTCTTCAAGACTGTTGATAGCTTTGTTATAGGTCTGATGTGATCCCGAAAGCTGAGACGGACTCAGGTCACACAGGACTCGAGACATGCCTCTGGTCATTATGAGTGTACTATAGCGATGATATAACACGTTCAGACGCTGAGATGAAGGCTTCTTCAGGAACCAGCTGGGAGAGAAGAACCACTCGCTCTCGCTCTCTGTATGCTCCATTATGGCTTGATGTACTGTACCTCTATATGTATGAAATAATATGTATTAAGGAACATTCAATAAAATGAGAACCTGCAGTGTGTAATTACTGTCCGTTTGAACTTTCTTTAAGAAGCTTTTGGACCCTCACACACAGAGGCTGATCTGGAGCATGAGGATGGCTCCATCATATCTCGGCCGTCATTAGTCACACATTACTTTAAGTCACATGTACGAGGTCATACACATACATTCATAAGGGTAAAGTGACACCAAGTAGCTTTTCCTCTGCGGTCGCCCGACAGGTGGGAAGCGGAATTGTCCATTAGCGCTGTCGTAAATAAGTTAACCCAGCGCCGGCTCGGGAATGAGCGATGTCCACAGACAAGGTAGAGTATGTTGCAGGGTTTCATGAAAATATGATGTATGGTGACATCATAAACAAAGAAAAACAAAATTATGTAAAATGTAGTTTTCTTATGTCTCATTAGAACTACAGAAACGCGACCCGATCTGGCGATCTTACAGACCGCAAAGCGAATCCAGAAGTTCCTTTCACCCTGTTACGACTTAATGAACCACTGAAACGATTTTGGAAACATTATTTTAATGTAAGAAATCTTACTTAGTGTTGCTTTAAAGTGCAGGACGATTACACAGTCCCATGATTCTCTGCCACATTGATAGAGCAAAGAACTGTTATTAAATCTGATTAAAGAACTGTTATTAAACTCTGACTTTAGGCTATGGTTTAGGCTACTTAATATTTATCCATATGTAAATGGGCATCTAAAAAAAATAGTTTAGCACATGAGATCCGGCAGAAATGTCGGAGGAACGAAACACTTCCACCATTCAAAGAAGACGTTTTAATCTCAATAATGTGTATTGAAACTGTGACAAATGTGGTCTAGCAGAGTCAGCACACGTGATGCTTATAGCAAGAGTTCAGCTAATTCAGGCTAATCTTTGGGAATACATCATTTGAAACTTCAGGTTCTGTTTAGAAATGTCCCAAAACAATCAAGAATATTTCATGAATTATTTATTTTCCATAAAAGAAACGAGATTGAATAATACAATTAAGGATAATGTTTTTATTATTATTATTTTTATAATTTAAATATCCATCACAACTTATGATGCATTGTGCGCGTCCAGTAGATGGCGGGGACGCGCGTATCAGTTGCTGTGCCAACCGCCATTACACACCAGAAGAAGAAGAAGAAGAAGGTAAACAGGAAGAGTGAAAGATCATCTAAAATGGGCGGGCCAGTTCTTGTGTGATATAAATAATATTTCTACAGGCTACCTTATGATCTGATTATGATTTCAAGTGTATGAGTGTCGTTATGAAGCTGTAGCGTATTTCCCACACTAGTGGAGCGCTCGGTCACGTGACACATGTTGCTTTGCCCAGCGCTGGCCAGGATGTGATTGATGGATCATCTCTCTTTTAAACTCTTTATAGAGACAGAAACGCGTTTGTGTTACAGGTGACAATCCTTGCAGATAAAACATTCAAATGATTGTGCTTTTAAAGAGTTAAAGTCCCTGTGAAGCGCCTCGTGCCTGACGTGTGTGTGTGTAAGTGTAAAGTTCATCGGTCTCTCACACGTCACTGAACCAAACACACCTCTGAAGTCGCGAGTGTGTGCCTTGACGAGGTTGGACCCACGGAACACGGAATAATGTGTGTTTGTGGCGCCGGTGGATGATGAAGATCGAGCTACTGCTGCTCTGCTCACTCTCTTACTGGTGAGGGACTCGCACTGCCACTGTGTGTGTGTGTGTGTGTGTGTGTGTGTGTGTGTGTGTGTGTTTATACGCCAACAGAAACACCATAGTCAAACCATGGGCTCTTCTAGACCTTACCGTGGTATTATTCGAAATATCTCGGAGCACTAATGTCGTGGCAGATGAATAGAGAATTACGTGTTAATGTGTGTGATTGTGACTCACGATGAACTTTAGATTGACTGACAGAAAGAGACCTGAGGTCAGATGAGGTCTGTGTTTAAAGAGACAGTCACAGATCACTGCTAAAGTCAAAGCTGCTTCAAAACATCAATGTGTAGACTTACATCTTAAAGTTGACTCAAAATGAAATAAATATACACAAAATACTTTAAAATAGCTATACCATGTCAATCAAGTTGTGTTCCACATTTGAAGTTGATATCACAGAATTGTTCCTGAAATGAACCCATTTCTCTGTGCAGGTTTGCTGTTCCACAGACACTGAGCTCTCAACATCATGACAAACACAGCGATGAACAGGTCTGAAACACACCGAGGTTCATGTGTGACGTGTTCATGTCTGAGGTCATGTGTGACGTGTTTATGATACGTGTTCATGTCTGAGGTCATGTGACGTGTTTATGATACGTGTTCATGTCTGAGGTCATGTGTGACGTGTTTATGATAAGTGTTCATGTCTGAGGTCATGTGACGTGTTTATGATGCGTGTTCATGTCTGAGGTCATGTGACGTGTTTATGATACGTGTTCATGTCTGAGGTCATGTGACGTGTTTATGATACGTGTTCATGTCTGAGGTCATGTGTGACGTGTTTTATGATGCGTGTTCATGTCTGAGGTCATGTGACGTGTTTATGATACGTGTTCATGTCTGAGGTCATGTGACGTGTTTATGATACGTGTTCATGTCTGAGGTCATGTGTGACGTGTTTATGATGCGTGTTCATGTCTGAGGTCATGTGACGTGTTTATGATACGTGTTCATGTCTGAGGTCATGTGACGTGTTTATGATACGTGTTCATGTCTGAGGTCATGTGACGTGTTTATGATGCGTGTTCATGTCTGAGGTCATGTGACGTGTTTATGATACGTGTTCATGTCTGAGGTCATGTGTGACGTGTTTATGATGCGTGTTCATGTCTGAGGTCATGTGACGTGTTTATGATACGTGTTCATGTCTGAGGTCATGTGTGACGTGTTTATGATGCGTGTTCATGTCTGAGGTCATGTGACGTGTTTATGATACGTGTTCATGTCTGAGGTCATGTGACGTGTTTATGATACGTGTTCATGTCTGAGGTCATGTGACGTGTTTATGATACGTGTTCATGTCTGAGGTAATGTAAGACGTGTTTATGATGCGTGTTCATGTCTGAGGTAATGTAAGACGTGTTTATGATGCGTGTTCATGTCTGAGGTCATGTGACGTGTTTATGATGCGTGTTCATGTCTGAGGTCATGTGACGTGTTTATGATACGTGTTCATGTCTGAGGTCATGTGACGTGTTTATGATACGTGTTCATGTCTGAGGTCATGTCTGACGTGTTTATGATACGTGTTCATGTCTGAGGTCATGTAAGACGTGTTTATGATGCGTGTTCATGTCTAAGGTCATGTGACGTGTTTATGATACGTGTTCATGTCTGAGGTCATGTGACGTGTTTATGATACGTGTTCATGTCTGAGGTCATGTGACGTGTTTATGATACGTGTTCATGTCTGAGGTCATGTGACGTGTTTATGATACGTGTTCATGCCTGAGGTCATGTAAGACGTGTTTATGATACGTGTTCATGTCTGAGGTCATGTGACGTGTTTATGATGCGTGTTCATGTCTGAGGTCATGTGACGTGTTTATGATACGTGTTCATGTCTGAGGTCATGTGACGTGTTTATGATACGTGTTCATGTCTGAGGTCATGTGACGTGTTTATGATACGTGTTCATGTCTGAGGTCATGTGACGTGTTTATGATACGTGTTCATGTCTGAGGTCATGTAAGACGTGTTTATGATACGTGTTCATGTCTGAGGTCATGTGACGTGTTTATGATGCGTGTTCATGTCTGAGGTCATGTGTGACATGTTTATGATACGTGTTCATGTCTGAGGTCATGTGACGTGTTTATGATACGTGTTCATGTCTGAGGTCATGTGTGACGTGTTTATGATACGTGTTCATGTCTGAGGTCATGTGACATGTTTATGATGCGTGTTCATGTCTGAGGTCATGTGTGACATGTTTATGATACGTGTTCATGTCTGAGGTCATGTAAGACGTGTTTATGATACGTGTTCATGTCTGAGGTCATGTGACGTGTTTATGATACGTGTTCATGTCTGAGGTCATGTGACGTGTTTATGATGCGTGTTCATGTCTGAGGTCATGTGTGACATGTTTATGATACGTGTTCATGTCTGAGGTCATGTGACGTGTTTATGATACGTGTTCATGTCTGAGGTCATGTGTGACGTGTTTATGATACGTGTTCATGTCTGAGGTCATGTGACATGATTATGATGCGTGTTCATGTCTGAGGTCATGTGTGACATGTTTATGATACGTGTTCATGTCTGAGGTCATGTGTGACGTGTTTATGATACGTGTTCATGTCTGAGGTCATGTGACGTGTTTATGATACGTGTTCATGTCTGAGGTCATGTGACGTGTTTATGATAAGTGTTCATGTCTGAGGTCATGTGTGACGTGTTTAGGATACGTGTTCATGTCTGAGGTCATGTGACGTGTTTATAATACGTGTTCATGTCTGAGGTCATGTGACGTGTTTATGATACGTGTTCATGTCTGAGGTCATGTGACGTGTTTATAATACGTGTTCATGTCTGAGGTCATGTGACGTGTTTATAATACGTGTTCATGTCTGAGGTCATGTGACGTGTTTATGATACGTGTTCATGTCTGAGGTCATGTGACGTGTTTATGATACGTGTTCATGTCTGAGGTCATGTGTGACGTGTTTATGATGCGTGTTCATGTCTGAGGTCATGTGACGTGTTTATGATACGTGTTCATGTCTGAGGTCATGTGTGACGTGTTTATGATGCGTGTTCATGTCTGAGGTCATGTGACGTGTTTATGATACGTGTTCATGTCTGAGGTCATGTGACGTGTTTATTATACGTGTTCATGTCTGAGGTCATGTGACGTGTTTATGATACGTGTTCATGTCTGAGGTAATGTAAGACGTGTTTATGATGCGTGTTCATGTCTGAGGTCATGTGACGTGTTTATGATGCGTGTTCATGTCTGAGGTCATGTGACGTGTTTATGATACGTGTTCATGTCTGAGGTCATGTGACGTGTTTATGATACGTGTTCATGTCTGAGGTCATGTCTGACGTGTTTATGATACGTGTTCATGTCTGAGGTCATGTAAGACGTGTTTATGATACGTGTTCATGTCTGAGGTCATGTCTGACGTGTTTATGATACGTGTTCATGTCTGAGGTCATGTAAGACGTGTTTATGATGCGTGTTCATGTCTGAGGTCATGTGACGTGTTTATGATACGTGTTCATGTCTGAGGTCATGTAAGACGTGTTTATGATACGTGTTCATGTCTGAGGTCATGTGACGTGTTTATGATGCGTGTTCATGTCTGAGGTCATGTGACGTGTTTATGATACGTGTTCATGTCTGAGGTCATGTGTGACGTGTTTATGATACGTGTTCATGTCTGAGGTCATGTGACGTGTTTATGATACGTGTTCATGTCTGAGGTCATGTGACGTGTTTATGATACGTGTTCATGTCTGAGGTCATGTGACGTGTTTATGATGCGTGTTCATGTCTGAGGTCATGTGTGACATGTTTATGATACGTGTTCATGTCTGAGGTCATGTGACGTGTTTATGATACGTGTTCATGTCTGAGGTCATGTGTGACGTGTTTATGATACGTGTTCATGTCTGAGGTCATGTGACATGTTTATGATGCGTGTTCATGTCTGAGGTCATGTGTGACATGTTTATGATACGTGTTCATGTCTGAGGTCATGTGTGACGTGTTTATGATACGTGTTCATGTCTGAGGTCATGTGACGTGTTTATGATACGTGTTCATGTCTGAGGTCATGTGACGTGTTTATGATAAGTGTTCATGTCTGAGGTCATGTGTGACGTGTTTAGGATACGTGTTCATGTCTGAGGTCATGTGACGTGTTTATAATACGTGTTCATGTCTGAGGTCATGTGACGTGTTTATGATACGTGTTCATGTCTGAGGTCATGTGACGTGTTTATAATACGTGTTCATGTCTGAGGTCATGTGACGTGTTTATAATACGTGTTCATGTCTGAGGTCATGTGACGTGTTTATGATACGTGTTCATGTCTGAGGTCATGTAAGACGTGTTTATGATACGTGTTCATGTCTGAGGTCATGTGACGTGTTTATGATGCGTGTTCATGTCTGAGGTCATGTGACGTGTTTATGATACGTGTTCATGTCTGAGGTCATGTGTGACGTGTTTATGATACGTGTTCATGTCTGAGGTCATGTGACGTGTTTATGATACGTGTTCATGTCTGAGGTCATGTGTGACGTGTTTATGATACGTGTTCATGTCTGAGGTCATGTGACGTGTTTATGATATATGTTCATGTCTGAGGTCATGTGACGTGTTTATGATGCGTGTTCATGTCTGAGGTCATGTGTGACATGTTTATGATACGTGTTCATGTCTGAGGTCATGTGACGTGTTTATGATACGTGTTCATGTCTGAGGTCATGTGTGACGTGTTTATGATACGTGTTCATGTCTGAGGTCATGTGACATGTTTATGATGCGTGTTCATGTCTGAGGTCATGTGTGACATGTTTATGATACGTGTTCATGTCTGAGGTCATGTGTGACGTGTTTATGATACGTGTTCATGTCTGAGGTCATGTGACGTGTTTATGATACGTGTTCATGTCTGAGGTCATGTGACGTGTTTATGATACGTGTTCATGTCTGAGGTCATGTGACGTGTTTATGATACGTGTTCATGTCTGAGGTCATGTGACGTGTTTATGATAAGTGTTCATGTCTGAGGTCATGTGTGACGTGTTTAGGATACGTGTTCATGTCTGAGGTCATGTGACGTGTTTTTATGTTTTTGCCTAACAGATGTTGTGTGTGTGTGTGTCGTTGGCAGCTGGTGATGTACAGTAATGACGTGGAGTCACTGGAGTCGTCTTCTTCCTCACGGGTCCCGGATCCCGTCAGTGTGTCTGGATCCTCCGAGTGCTCCTCCTGCCGGTCAGTGATGCTCAGGCCGTCTGCACACACTCGCTAGTCTGGAGTTTGAGTGGAGGTAGTAACACCCGGTGTCTTGTTTCTCTCAGGGATTGTGCCACGTCAGACTCCTGCTCTGCTGAAAGCCTCTCCACGGACGAGTCTCCAGCTGCGTGTGATGCTGCAGAAACCCTGCCGTTCGACTCCACGCTGCCCAGGTACTGAGACAATCCCTCACTGAGCCAGCTCAGGTCATCAGGTCTGATACACGCTTCAGATGCAGATCCGTCTGAGGCGCCGGTTTTTAAAGTCGGCTCATGTGCTTCTCTTCTCTGTCTGTCATGGAAGTTTTCCAGCGGCTCAAGAGAACGTGAGTGTCCGTGAGACGAGGAAACCCACCGAAGACCAAACTGGGAAACGGAGCAACGCCTCCCTCATCCGGAAAGAACAGGTGACGCCTCCTTAAAGCTACAGACACACTCATGCACTCGTTCTGCGGAGGGCACTTTAAAGATTAAACATCCAAACTACACTACTGTAGTGTACTGTGGTGGACTCTAGTATAGTCTAGTGTACTGTAGTGTAGTACTGTAGAATACTGTAGTGTACTGTGGTGGACTCTAGTATAGTCTAGTGTACTGTAGTGTAGTACTGTAGAATACTGTAGTGTACTGTGGTGGACTCTAGTATAGTCTAGTGTACTGTAGTGTAGTGTAGTGTACTGTAGTGTACTGTGGTGGACTCTAGTATAGTCTAGTGTACTTGTAGTGTAGTACTGTAGAATACTGTAGTGTACTGTGGTGGACTCTAGTATAGTCTAGTGTACTGTAGTGTAGTACTGTAGAATACTGTAGTGTACTGTGGTGGACTCTAGTATAGTCTAGTGTACTGTAGTGTAGTACTGTAGAATACTGTAGTGTACTGTGGTGGACTCTAGTATAGTCTAGTGTACTGTAGTGTAGTACTGTAGAATACTGTAGTGTACTGTGGTGGACTCTAGTATAGTCTAGTGTACTGTAGTGTAGTGTAGTGTACTGTAGTGTACTGTGGTGGACTCTAGTATAGTCTAGTGTACTTGTAGTGTAGTACTGTAGAATACTGTAGTGTACTGTGGTGGACTCTAGTATAGTCTAGTGTACTGTAGTGTAGTGTAGTGTACTGTAGTGGACTCTAGCATAGTCTAGTGTACTTGTAGTGTAGTACTGTAGTGTAGTGTAGTGTACTGTGTGTGGACTCTAGTATAGTCTAGTGTACTGTAGTGTAGTGTAGTGTACTGTAGTGGACTCTAGTATAGTCTAGTGTACTTGTAGTGTAGTACTGTAGTGTAGTGTAGTGTACTGTGTGTGGACTCTAGTATAGTCTAGTGTACTGTAGAATAGTGTAGTGTACTGTAGTGTAGTGTACTGTAGTGTAGTGTGTTGTGCAGTGTTATTTGTCATCTGTCACTTTAAATGCTCATGCTCTTTAGAGCTGGTAGGTTTCTGATTGGCTGTCAATGTTTTTATAGTTCATCAGCTGGATACAGTCTGGAAGTGATTCTAGTGATAGTATTTATCTGCATCATTGTCATTATAGTTAATCTATATATAATAACTATATTGTTCTTCTAGGGCTGGGCGAAATGGCCAAAAAATCTCTGTATTTTTTGGTTAAATGGCGATATACAATATATATCTTGGTACTTTCTATGTTTTTCTTTTTAGATAAAGAAAATCTTTATATTTAAAATATGAAGAGTTCAGATGCAAAAGCCTCTAAATTTGCCAATTTTCTTCTTTAATGATGATTTTTATCAAACTTGTATATTTAAGTTCAGTAATTTCACTTAAATAACAATTAATAGGTAATTATCATTGCCATTTAAGTGAAATTACTGAACTTAAATATACAAGTTTGATAAAAAAAATCATCATTAAAGAAGAAAAATTCAAATGGCATTTAGAGGCTTTTGCATCTGAACTCTTCATATATATATATATATTTCACATTCTTCCCAGTGATATCTACAAACAATGTTGATAATAAAAGATATGGAAACAAATATAGTTATATAATGTAATATATAGGCTATGCAATATATTATGTGCAAAAAGATTTTGTTTTTTAAATTGACTAAAGGCTAAACTAAAAATGAAAATAAAAACAAAAACAAAAGCACAAACTAATTATATTAGCCTGCATTTGATTACCCCATTATAATGGTCACTTTCATAAAAAATATACTTGTAGGTTTAAAATTCCACATATGGCAAATGTATTGTCTCCAAAAACAAATATGTACGTTCTTACTACGTTCTTCATACAAGCCGTTATTGGGGAGCTCTTTATGTTTGCTGAGTGTGTGTGATGAAGCAGCTCAGAGCTGATCACTTATTTGTAGTGCTGATCATCTGCTTCTAGTGTACTGTACTGTAGTGTATTGTAGTGTTGTATTGTGTACTGTAGTGTATTGTTATATAGTGTATTATTTACAATTGTCTCTAGTGCTGATCATCTGGATCTGATGTAGTGTAGTGTAATGTACTGTAGTGTATTGTATTTTAGTGTACTGTAATGTACTGTAGTGTATTGTAGTGCACTGACTGTAGTTTAGTGTAGTGCACTGTAGTGTAATGTAGTTTAGTGTAGTATACTGTAGTGTAGTGTGCTGTAGTGTATGGTAGTATAGTGTAGTGTACTGTAGTACACTTCTCTCTAGTGCTTATTATCTGGATCTGATTTCAGGGCTCCTCGGACTCTGACCCGTCACTGCCCAGCAGAGAGCAGGAGATCCCCACCTTCGACGAGTGGACCAAGATCATGCTGGAGACGGAGAAGAGTGAGTAGTGTTGAGGTGGAGTAGAGTGAGTAGTGTTGAGGTGGAGTAGAGTGAGTAGTGTTGAGGTGGAGAAGAGTGAGTAGTGTTGAGATGGAGTAGAGTGAGTAGTGTTGAGATGGAGTAGAGTGAGTAGTGTTGAGGTGGAGAAGAGTGAGTAGTGTTGAGGTGGAGTAGAGTGAGTAGTGTTGAGATGGAGAAGAGTGAGTAGTGTTGAGGTGGAGAAGAGTGAGTAGTGTTGAGGTGGAGAAGAGTGAGTAGTGTTGAGGTGGAGTAGAGTGAGTAGTGTTGAGATGGAGAAGAGTGAGTAGTGTTGAGATGGAGTAGAGTGAGTAGTGTTGAGGTGGAGTAGAGTGAGTAGTGTTGAGGTGGAGAAGAGTGAAGTAGTGTTGAGATGGAGAAGAGTGAGTAGTGTTGAGGTGGAGAAGAGTGGTAGTGTTGAGGTGGAGTAGAGTGAGTAGTGTTGAGATGGAGAAGAGTGAGTAGTGTTGAGGTGGAGTAGAGTGAGTAGTGTTGAGGTGGAGAAGAGTGAGTAGTGTTGAGGTGGAGTAGAGTGAGTAGTGTTGAGGTGGAGTAGAGTGAGTAGTGTTGAGGTGGAGAAGAGTGAGTAGTGTTGAGATGGAGAAGAGTGAGTAGTGTTGAGGTGGAGAAGAGTGAGTAGTGTTGAGGTGGAGAAGAGTGAGTAGTGTTGAGGTGGAGAAGATGAGTAGTGTTGAGGTGGAGTAGAGTGAGTAGTGTTGAGGTGGAGTAGAGTGAGTAGTGTTGAGGTGGAGTAGAGTGAGTAGTGTTGAGGTGGAGTAGAGTGAGTAGTGTTGAGGTGGAGTAGAGTGAGTAGTGTTGAGGTGGAGTAGAGTGAGTAGTGTTGAGGTGGAGAAGAGTGAGTAGTGTTGAGGTGGAGTAGAGTGAGTAGTGTTGAGGTGGAGTAGAGTGAGTAGTGTTGAGGTGGAGTAGAGTGAGTAGTGTTGAGATGGAGAAGAGTGAGTAGTGTTGAGGTGGAGTAGAGTGAGTAGTGTTGAGATGGAGTAGAGTGAGTAGTGTTGAGGTGGAGTAGAGTGAGTAGTGTTGAGGTGGAGTAGAGAGTAGTGTTGAGGTGGAGTAGAGTGAGTAGTGTTGAGGTGGAGTAGAGTGAGTAGTGTTGAGGGTGGAGTAGAGTGAGTAGTGTTGAGATGGAGTAGAGTGAGTAGTGTTGAGAATGGAGTAGAGTGAGTAAGTGTTGAGATGGAGTAGAGTGAGTAGTGTTGAGGTGGAGTAGAGTGAGTAGTGTTGAGATGGAGTAGAGTGAGTAGTGTTGAGGTGGAGAAGAGTGAGTAGTGTTGAGGTGGAGTAGAGTGAGTAGTGTTGAGATGGAGTAGAGTGAGTAGTGTTGAGATGGAGTAGAGTGAGTAGTGTTGAGGTGGAGAAGAGTGAGTAGTGTTGAGGTGGAGTAGAGTGAGTAGTGTTGAGATGGAGTAGAGTGAGTAGTGTTGAGGTGGAGTAGAGTGAGTAGTGTTGAGGTGGAGTAGAGTGAGTAGTGTTGAGGTGGAGTAGAGTGAGTAGTGTTGAGGTGGAGTAGAGTGAGTAGTGTTGAGGTGGAGTAGAGTGAGTAGTGTTGAGGTGGAGTAGAGTGAGTAGTGTTGAGGTGGAGTAGAGTGAGTAGTGTTTGAGGTGGAGTAGAGTGAGTAGTGTTGAGATGGAGTAGAGTGAGTGAGTGTGAGGGTGGAGTAGAGTGAGTAGTGTTGAGGTGGAGTAGAGTGAGTAGTTTGAGGTGGAGTAGAGTGAGTAGTGTTGAGGTGGAGTAGAGTGAGTAGTGTTGAGGTGGAGTAGAGTGAGTAGTGTTGAGATGGAGTAGAGTGAGTAGTGTTGAGACGGAGAAGAGTGAGTAGTGTTGAGATGGAGTAGAGTGAGTAGTGTTGAGGTGGAGAAGAGTGAGTAGTGTTGAGGTGGAGTAGAGTGAGTAGTGTTGAGGTGGAGTAGAGTGAGTAGTGTTGAGGTGGAGTAGAGTGAGTAGTGTTGAGGTGGAGTAGAGTGAGTAGTGTTGAGGTGGAGTAGAGTGAGTAGTGTTGAGATGGAGTAGAGTGAGTAGTGTTGAGATGGAGTAGAGAGTAGTGTTGAGATGGAAGTAGAGTGAGTAGTGTGAGGTGGAGTAGAGTGAGTAGTGTTGAGATGGAGTAGAGTGAGTAGTGTTGAGGTGGAGAAGAGTGAGTAGTGTTGAGGTGGAGTAGAGTGAGTAGTGTTGAGATGGAGTAGAGTGAGTAGTGTTGAGATGGAGTAGAGTGAGTAGTGTTGAGGTGGAGAAGAGTGAGTAGTGTTGAGGTGGAGTAGAGTGAGTAGTGTTGAGATGGAGTAGTAGTGTGAGTAGTGTTGAGGTGGAGAAGAGTGAGTAGTGTTGAGGTGGGAGTAGAGTGAGTAGTGTTGAGGTGAGTAGAGTGAGTAGTGTTGAGGTGGAGTAGAGTGAGTAGTGTTGACGTTTTGAGTGTGTGTGTGTGTGTGTGTGTGTGTTCATCAGGTCAGGTGACTCCTCACGCTGGGTTAGGGTAGAGGAGTGAGTAGTGTTGACTGTTGTGTGTGTGTGTGTGTGTGTTCATCAGGTCAGGTGACTCCTCACGCTGGGTTAGGGTAGAGGAGTGAGTAGTGTTGACTGTTGAGTGTGTGTGTGTGTGTGTGTTCATCAGGTCAGGTGACTCCTCACGCTCCCGATGGGAAGAAGCTCCAGCAGACCGTCACCAACTACGCCTCTGTGGAGTGTGGAGCCAAGATCCTGTCCTCCAACCCCGAGGCCAAGGTGCAGCTCCTCACACACACACACACACACACACACACACACTCGCTGAGAAACGGCTGTGTTTCACTGTGTGTGTGTGTGTGTGTTTTCCAGAGCACTTCAGCCGTTCTGATGGAGAACATGGACATGTACATGCTGAACCCCTGCAATAACAAGATCTGGTCAGCTGGTTTACATCTCTCACGTCAGACTACTGCAACTCAAGAGTGTTTGTTTAAATCAGTATTTCTCTCAAGTGTGTGAAATACAGCAGCGCTCAAAAGATTGGTTTAATGTTTCTGAAAGAGTCTCTTCTGCTCAGAAAAGCTGCATTTCTTTGATCAAAACTACAGTAAAACAGTGTAATATTACTCCAGTGTAAATCAGCTGTTCTCTCTGTGAATATACAGTATATCATATACATAATATATAATATAATATAATATAATATAATATACAGTAAAGTGTAATTTATTCCTGTGATCTTCATCATCATTACTCCAGTCTTCAGTGTCACATGATCCTTCACAAATCACTCTAATATGATGTCATTGACTGTGATGGTTCCTGACTCATTAGCAGTGAATGTCTCTCTCTCTCTCTCTGTGAATGTGTGTGTGTTGGGCAGGTTCATCATCGAGCTCTGTCAGCCCATCCAGGTCAAGCAGCTGGACATCGCCAACTTTGAGATCTTTTCCTCAAACCCCAAAGACTTCCTGGTCTCAATAAGCGACAGGTCTGTGTGTGTGTGTGTGTGTGTGTGTGTGTGTGTGTGTGTGTGTGTGTATAGCATATTTTTCATGGCTTGTTCGCTCAGATATCCAAACAAGAAGTGGGTGAAGCTGGGGACGTTCCACGCGCGTGACGAGCGGACAGTGCAGAGCTTCCCTCTCGATGAGCATCTGTTCGCCAAGTTCGTCAAGGTGAGCGAGTGTGTGCGCATTTGTGCAAATGAGTGAGACTGTGTGAGAGCAGTGTGACGTCTTCTGTCCCATCATGCCCTTCTCTCAGCTCTCTCTCTCTCTCTTCTCCTGCATCAGATGTTCACCAGATACATCAAGGTTAGAGTGTGTGAATGGCTTGAGCTGGGTTTTCAGACTGTACACACACACACACACACAAGCTGTTTTGTCAAAGACTGTGAAGAATCCCATATTTGACTGAGAGAAATTATTCTCCAGTGTGTGTGTGTGTGTGTGTGTGTGTGTGTGTGTGATCGCACTGATTTCTCTCGGTTAGCTTGTGATGCTTCTTCATGTGTGTATGAAGCTAGTTTCAGCATGTGAGGACTGAAGATAATACTGAGTTTAACACACATGATCAGCGTTGTGTTCTTGTTTCAGGTGGAGCTGTTGTCACACTTCGGCTCGGAGCACTTCTGTCCTCTCAGTCTGATCAGGTCTTTAACACACACACACACACACACACACTGAAACAGGAACATCCACATCCCCAAACTCTTCCCACAAAGTTGGGAACATAAAATTGTCCAATATGTCTTTGGTGTGCTGAAGCAGTAATAGTTCCTTTCACTGGAACTTAAGAGGCCAAACCTGAAAAACAACCCCTCACCATAACCCCCCCCCCCCCCACCTAACAACCCCACACCATAACCCCCCCTCCACCTAACAACCCCTCACCATAACCCCCCCCTCCACCAAACAACCCCACTCCATAACCCCCCTCCATCTAACAACCCCACACCATAATCCCCCTCCACCTAACAACCCCACTCCATAACCCCCCTCCACCTAACAACCCCACACCATAATCCCCCTCCACCAAACAACCCCTCACCATAACCCCCCCTCCACCAAACAACCCCACTCCATAACCCCCCTCCACCTAACAACCCCACACCATAATCCCCCCTCCACCAAACAACCCCACACCATAATCCCCCTCCACCAAACAACCCCACACCATAATCCCCCTCCACCCAAACAACCCCACACCATAATCCCCCCTTCCACCTAACAACCCTCACCATAACCCCCCCTCCACCAAACAACCCCTCACCATAACCCCCCTCCACCAAACAACCCCACACCATAACCCCCCCTCCACCAAACAACCCCACACCATAATCCCCCCTCCACCAAACAACCCCACACCATAATCCCCCCTCCACCTAACAACCCCTCACCATAACCCCCCTCCACCAAACAACCCCACACCATAATCCCCCTCCACCTAACAACCCCACACCATAACCCCCCCTCTCCACCAAACAACCCCACTCCATAACCCCCCCTCCACCTAACAACCCCTCACCATAACCCCCCCTCCACCTAACAACCCCACACCATAACCCCCCTCTTCCACCAAACAACCCCACTCCATAACCCCCCCTCCACCTAACAACCCCTCACCATAACCCCCTCCACCTAACAACCCCACTCCATAACCCCCCTCCACCTAACAACCCCTCACCATAACCCCCCCTCCACCTAACAACCCCACACCATAACCCCCCTCTTCCACCAAACAACCCACTCCATAACCCCCCCTCCACCTAACAACCCCACACCATAACCCCCCCTCCACCAAACAACCCCACTCCATAACCCCCCTCCACCTAACAACCCCACACCATAACCCCTCCTCCACCAAACAACCCCACACCATAACCCCCCTCCACCAAACAACCCCACTCCATAACCCCCCTCCACCTAACAACCCCTCACCATAACCCCCCCTCCACCAAACAACCCCACTCCATAACCCCCCTCCACCAACAAACCCCACACCATAACCCCCCTCTTCCACCAAACAACCCCACTCCATAACCCCCCCTCCACCAAACAACCCCTCACCATAACCCCCCTCCACCTAACAACCCCACACCATAACCCCCCCTCCACCTAACAACCCCACACCATAACCCCCCCTCCACCAAACAGCTGTAGTTTGTGATGTGAATCTGCTGACATCTCTCTCTCTCTCTCTCTCTCTCTGAAGGGTGTTCGGCACCAGTATGATGGAGGAGTATGAGCTGAACTCTGAGCTGTCAGACAGACACACACACACTCACGAGGAGCAGGACTACGGTAACCATCATCTGCACACACACACACTCACTCACTGTCTGTCTGTCTGCTGTGTCACAGAAGCCATCAACTCTGCTTTTCTCTCTGGATGTTTAGATCAGCCTCCAGACTTTGTGCCAGTCGATGACAGATCCTCCGGGAATCTGATCGGATCTGCCAAAGGTCAGTGTGCGCGTCACAGTCAGATCCCGAGGGTTTATAATCAGCTGATGATGTCTTGTGTTTTCAGACGCTCTTCTCACCATGGTGAACAACATCGCTGCTAATGTGCTGGGCGGGCAGAACGCAGGTGTGTTCTGACATCACTTCCTGCTGACGCCTGACTGAGTGAAACCCTGACTGTATGAATGAGCTTGTGTTTGTGCTCTTCAGGGAACTCCTCCGCTGAAGGTCTGAACGCGACAGAAGCGGCTCTCCCCGCTGGAGCGATGCACTCTGGGTATGTGACCGCGCTCGAGAGGCCTGGGCAAATTACCATCAGATTTTCAGTATAAATTAGTGGTGCAACAGATCACAGAATTCACGGTTCGGATCCATACGGATCACAATCAGCCCTATTCCTTGCTGTTCTTCAGCTTATATCATACTCATATAATTCCCGTTCTTTCTCCATCCAGGCCAGTGGCGGATCAACTGGATGTCACTGGGACCACAGAGGCTGGCAGCGTCACATCAGCAACACAGACGGACGCTCCACACACTGAAGACGGGTCTGTCCGCACCGAGCCGGAAGAAGACGCTCCCGTTCAGACCGGGCCTGAGACGGAGCAGATCGTCACCCTGCTGCCTGAGGACGAATCGGATCAGTCCTCTGGAGCAGAACCGGGAGAAATAGACCCGCAGAACGGACGTGTGACCGCAAACGCAGTGCGCTCCGAATCCCGCGGCTCCTCTCTTCACGAGTTCCTCCTGCAGCGCTGCTCCTCTCCTCACAAGAAGAAGACTGTCTCACGCTCCGTAATCACCTCAATCACAGAGAGTCCCGTCGTTCCCACGCCTGTCCCGCCGGCTCCGGAGCTTCAGTCGCTGGTGTGGGATCTCTCCCCGAGCCTGACCTCAGATCTGCTGGCGTCTGATAGCGAGAGCCTCACAGCGACGCTCCCTCTGCAGATCAGTGACTCACACCCGACTCCTGATCCTGCGACGCTCCCTTCGGAGAGCAGTAACTCCCGCCCGATTGCTGATCCCACGACTTTCTCGGACCTCCTGACTAGCTCCAGTGGAGATCGGGCAGATCCGGAGAGGATCTCGGCCACATCTGCCCTTGAGAAGGACATTCCAACTCTTACTGTTTCCGTTAGTACAGTGGAAGAGTCTCCGCCTACTCCCGTATCCGCTCCAGTGGATGAAGCAGCGCTGACTCCTGATGGGTTGGCCGAGGCCAGGAGCCAGGAGCTGTCGGAGGAGGAAAGCGGCGCTAACATGGAGGTGGACGGGGAAACGCTGGGCTCTGGTGAGGTGTCTGCTCACGGCTCCAGTCAGAAAGAGTCTGTCTTCATGAGGCTCAACAATCGCATCAAGGCGCTGGAGACGAACATGTCTCTGAGCGGACGCTACCTCGAGCAGCTGAGCCAGAGGTGAGTCCTGCGCCGTCCAGCCGCTTCAGAGCGAGCGAGATCCTCACGGCCAATTTAGGGGTATTCTTCACCTAGAAAGGAGACTGAAACACAGAGCAGTGATGGCGCTATGCTGAGGGGCGTTCCCAAAGTGTTGTTCCTACGCAGCGCGAGTTCCCTCAATAGGGAACACTTTAATGTTCAACAGACCAAGAGAAAATCACACAAAAAATTGAATAAGAATCATACAGTTTATGTGGTATTTTAATTTGTATTTTGCTACTTTATTCCATTTCTGTAATATGTCTTTGTTCTGTTGTGTTTTTGCTTGTAATTAGTCTTCAGTAGACTGTTCACTTGTTTTCATGACCCTTTCAAAGGTTTGAGTACCTTAGTTAGACTAGTGTGAGTGATTGCTCTGGACTTGGGTATGGAGAAGTGTTGAGTGTGACTGGTGAAGCGCTGTGGATGTTTAGCACAGATCCCTGTACTGTGATGGTGGTGTGAGACTGGTTGATCTGGCTGTGTACAGGTACAGGAAGCAGGTGGAGGAGATGCAGAGAGCCTTCAACAAGACCATCATCAAGCTGCAGAACACCTCCAGAACGGCCGAGGAGCAGGTCAGCAGGACCTCAGATCTGTGTGTGTGTGTGTGTCGGACCCCATATAACCGCATCCTCCTGCTCTTGACTGCAGGACCAGAGGCAGACGGACTCGATCCAGGTGCTGCAGGCTCAGCTGGAGAACGTGACGCGACTCGTCCTTGGACTGTCTGTCAGCGTGAGTCGGCTACAGCAAGAGGTACTCGTCCGTCGTCTGAGACTAGCAGTCGTCCTGTTTCATGTCTGTGTCAAGCCTGCAGGATCAGGGATCACGATATCTAAGCTGGTGTTTTGGTGGTGATGATGATTTTGGTGATGATATTATTGATGGTGATGATGTTAGTGACTATGATGATGATCCTGGTGATGATGTTAGTGACAATGATGTAGTGAAAGTAATGATGATACTGGTGATGTAGTGACGGTAATGATGATACTGGTGATGATGATGTAGTGACGGTAATGATGATACTGGTGATGATGATGTAGTGATGGTAATGATGATACTGGTGATGATGTTAGTGACAATGATGTAGTGAAAGTAATGATGATACTGGTGATGATGTAGTGATGGTAATAGGGGTGTAACGATTCACTCGTTTTCTCGATGCATCGATTATAAATCCTGGCGATGCATATGCATCGATCCTGAAACATGTATTTTGAATCGTGAATCGTTTATTTACGTGAATAATCGATTTAAAAGGCTAATAATCGAATTAATCACGATTTTATAGCGATTCAGTGGTTTAAAATATATAAACACAACCTTAAAGTGTTCCTGGTACAAGCTGCCTCACGCATTGGCCGTCATACGACATCCGCATTTGATTGGTTTCAGGCGCTCACACACCCCTGATTTCTCACGCTGAAGCCCGGTCGGTCAAATGCCTGAAAGATGAGTTTATCTTTGTACCTGTTGAGCTACTCATGTCGTGATCAGCTTGTATTACCGCAAATTAGATAAAATCTCCCGGAATCTAGAGCGAGCGTGCATACGAGACAGAGGTTGCGCTCCAAACCGCGTATCGCGCGTTCACACACGGCTGCACGCACTCGGCAGAGAGGGAAAGCGAGCGAGAGACCACCTTGCGTGTACGGAGAGTCCATGTAATAAATGAATAAAAGCGTTTTATTTCATAGTGCCCACGCAATGGCATGGCAGCTTTATCAATGGCTTGAGCGGTTTGCCTCAAAACTATTGTTTTCCCGACAGAGAGCTCAGCTGGAGATCGAGCTCAATGGACTGCTCAAAAATCTGTAACGTTATGAAAGCATTAGAGCTATGGGACCGAGCGCGAGCAAAATCCAGTGAAAAGATGATAACGAGTGCACTGAGAGGACGCAAAATGAAACTAATGAAAACGTCTCCATTAATTTGTGCATGTAGTCATTTAATGCAATACTTTAAAAGCCTTTTTCAAAATATTTGCTACTTGCAAATGCTAATTTGTAGGCCATTGAATTTTTTTTTATAATAATATATTCATTAAAATTAAAAACAAACATGAACTAACATTAACAATGGACAAAATCCCCACTATCTGACCCCCGAAGGCCGCTGTATAGGCTAATTCAAACCCAGACAAAGACCCATTGGGTGAAGCATTAAAATAATACTATAATGCATATAAAAAATTAAGAATCGAATCGAATTAATCGAATCGCATCGAATTTGGATGTGAATCGCATCGAATCGAATCGTTCTGAATTTGCACAAATCGTTCATGAATCGAATCGAAAACCTATGAATCGTGAATCGAATCGATTCGCTGTCTACCCAAAGATTCACAGCCCTAGATGGTAATAATGATACTGGTGATGATGTTAGTGACGATGATGTAGTGAAGGTAATGACGATATTGGTGATGATGATGTAGTGACGGTAATGACGATGATGGTGATGTAGTGATGGTAAGGATGATACTGGTGATGATGTTGATGTAGTGACGGTAATGATGATACCTGTGATGATGTAGTGATGGTAATGATGGTGATGTAGTGATGGTAAGGATGATACTGGTGATGATGTTGATGTAGTGACGGTAATGATGATACTGGTGATGATGATGTAGTGACGGTAATGATGTTGATGTAGTGACGGTAATGATGATACCTGTGATGATGATTTAGTAATGGTAATGATGATGATGCTGGTGATGATGTTAGTGATGATGTAATGACGGTAATGATGATACTGGCGATGATGATGTAATGATGGTAATGATGATACTGGTGATGATGATGTAGTGACGGTAATGATGGTGATGTAGTGACGGTAATGATGATACTGGTGATGATGATGTAGTGACGGTAATGATGGTGATGTAGTGATGGTAAGGATGATACTGGTGATGATGTTGATGTAGTGACAGTAATGATGATACCTGTGATGATGATTTAGTAATGGTAATGATGATGATGCTAGTGATGATGTTAGTGATGATGTAATGACGGTAATGATGATACTGGTGATGATGATGCTGCTGTGTTCTGCAGGTGTCTGACAGGCAGAGCTACATCCTACTGTGTCTGATCCTCTGTGTGCTGCTCGCACTGCTGATCTGTACCAACTACCGTCAGATGTGTGAGAGTCCTGCGCTCGACCCGTACAGATCCTGCTGCCCTGAGAGGTGAGGACACGCCACACGGGTCATGTGACTCCTACATGTGTGAGATTATGGGAAATGGCAGACCCTGTCAGAGGCAACAGTTGCCTTCCTTAAAGGTCTTAAACCTGTTCTCCAAGGCTAACATCTCACAGTGTGAGCATGTGACGGTGTGCTGTTAACCCTGCTCATGCCTGCTGTTTCCAGAGAGCCGCTGTCTGACGAAGAGCCGGTGATCCTGAGACGCCGAGCCTCTGATCCGCCCTCGCTCCCGTCCCTCCAGACGCCCGAAGGTCAGTTATTGGCCCACTGTCTTTCCTCGCATCATGTGTGTTGTTGAGGATTTCACTGAGTGATCAGACACATAATTGGCTTTGACATTTTCTGCATTTTCTTTATTTCAGGAGGTTCTGAAGAAACCAGCAGCCTTAAGCAGGGTCCAGTCAGTAGAAAAGTAAGATGGATGTTTCTGACTTCATGATTCAATGGTTCCCTTTCAAGGGAACTTTAGCTGCGTCTAAACACTGTGGGAGCGCCCCTGTGGGATTGCGTCATGGAGCAAGGATGGAATCAGTCCTATGGCGTGACGGAACGTCTTCGACCACAAAACTATAAAGCACTCCTGCGTCACCCTGGTCTGCGTCATCGACTAGCTTCAGCCTATCAGACCCTGGTCGATGACATCACCCGCCTATGACGTTCTGTCACGCCATTGGACTGATTCCATACGTGGTTCATGACGCAATCACGCAGTTGCGTTTCTTCAGGGAACTAGGGTTACATACATAACCGAGATGTTTTTATGGGTAGTGAAAACCCAGGAAGCATTAATAGTGTTTATCGGTGAGGAAATAATCACTGTTGGTTTGCCTTTGTTGCAGAAGAAGCACAAGTTGAAGCTCAGCAGGAGTCTAGAGACTCGAGCCCCTCCGCCGATCGCTGGTGTGATTCCTCAGAGCACGATTGGCCCTCAGGCTTTGGAGGTCAGAGACGTGATGTCGGACGGCTCCGAGGGCTCCTCACATTCTGACGAGACTCTGTTCTGCGGATTGACCGGCTGTGCACGTCTGTGTGAGACGATTCCTGCGCCGGGACGCTGGACGCAGAGCAAACGGCAGAAGACTCCAGAACAGCTGCATCAGCCTCCGCAGCGCAGTGTCCCGCATAGTCTGAGCCGCACTGGACACACTGACCCGCACTGGACACACTGAGCCGCACTGGACACACTGACCCGCACTGGACACACTGAGCCGCACTGGACACACTGAGCCGCACCTGCTGAATACACTCTTTACACTGGAGCTGCTTGCACTGTTCCGACACACTGGACTCTAAAATCTTATGCTGTCGCTATTCGGCACAGATTTATACATTTTGGGGTTATACTTTTGTAATAATGTGCCACTGACCTTTCAGACAATCATAAATAAAATTTAAATTATTGAACTGCTGCATTGATTTCTTATATTTATAGTGTATTCTGAGTCTGACAAATGCATTCACCCTCAGGTTATTATCTTTTTCAGCTTAAATATGTAATATTGTAAATAATAGTTATCATATACACTTACCAGACACTTTATTAGTAACACATGCTAATACCGGGTCGGATCCATTTTTGTCTTCAGAACTGCCCCAATTCTTCGTGACGGAGATTGATCAAGCTGCTGGAAACATTCCTCAGAGATTTTGATCCATATTGACTTGATAGTATCATGAACGCAGATTAATGCAGATTTCTGGACTGCACATCCATGATGCGAATCTCCCGTTCCATCCCAAAGCTGCTCACTACTATGTTCGTATTTAGAAAGAAATCTGCTAGAATTTAGACTGTATCATAGCTCTCATTAGAGTATCTCTATTATCTTATATCTGTCTGTTAGTGTCACTCAACCTTAGTGCTGCGTTTGACGCTATCAACCACAACAATCTTCTGAATTAACTCGAAAATTATGTTGGTATTCGTGGACCATGCAAATCCACTCCTGCCAACATAATCCAACAGATTTCAGAGTCTATTCTATTCTAGTCTATTGGCATGCTTCAAATCATACTTATCTTACCGTTATCATTTTGTAGTAGTAAATTATGTCATATCGATCACAAGTTCAGTATGGAGTACCGCAAGGCTCGATACTAGGACCGCTGCTGTTCATTTTTTACATGCTGCCATTGGGAGATATCGGCATTAGTTTTCACTGTTATGGTGATGATACTCGGCTGTATGTTTCTTCGCGCACTGATGAAACTTGCCAATTCACAAAATTAACGGAATTCATAGCTGATATAAAAACTTGGACGACTAGACATTTCCTGGGCCTCAATGCATGATGTAATCAGCCGGATCCGGGCCGTATCCATACACAATCACATCATCTAGATAGTTCTCCACATTGATTTTTAGTATTGTTTAGTATTTTTAACGAAGATGATTGTGTGTTAAGCGTCTGCAACTTACTTTGTGGTTGCTTTTGCCTCATCTAAATTTTCCCTGAAAACGGCAGTGTCAAGTAATTCTGTTGCTTTATCTTTAATGTGAGTGTGTTTTCATGTCCAGCTTTACAAATGTTGTATTGGTTCTGTTCTTCTTTGACAAATCGTATCATAAGGAATGTTACTCAATGTACCTGCTACTGCTTGTAGCTAAATTTAGTATTCATAAATGTAAATTTGGGGAAATGAGCCTTTTTTTTCATTTTAAAATCAGAAGTTTAACTATAGCTAAATACAATGTTATATTTAAAATTAAGAAAGCTGTCTATTTGTAAACATTTTCATATTTTTATCAAACTTTTAAATGTTTTATTTTATTTACGTATTAATGTATTGGTTTTGTTTATTCTATGTACTCCACTGACTAAATGTGAATCTTTAAAAAATATATTTTAAAGGCAAAAGTATTTACAGTATAATTATGATGACGTCAGATGTCCAATGAAACGCCCTCATGACATGTGTTCCTCCAATCAGAAGCGCTTCCGGTCAGGATCGGATGGATTATGGATAACTCATCTCATATCTTTCATGTGTTTACTTTATTCTGAAGAGAAAAAGACAGATCTGCTCTGATTCTTAGACTACATTTTATATGTGTCTGTAACGTGAATACGTGTCATTTTTACGTTTGTCTCACGACGTCAGATTTAGACTCGACAGGAAGTGTTTAGTGAAACTGCTGAATGATTTCCTTAGCGTAGGATCATAACAATATAACGATATTCTGCGGTTATTTCTGACTCCGGCCGGCAGGATAGTTCAGTGAACCTGCCGCTGTTCTGTGGATAAGCGGGTTTATATCATGGACACTGGCCGCCTGTCTCACTCTGGGCTAGTGCTAACGCTGGATTAAACGCTGTCTCTGCGATGCTAACGGCTGTCCGGTGAATGCGGTGTGTGTGAGGCGATGAGCCCCCAGAAGAAGATGAAGAAGAGGAAGGAGCTGAACGCGCTGATCGGCCTGAGCGAGACCCGCAGGAAGAGCAAACACCGGCTCCTGCGCTCAGAGCCGCCCGACAGCCAGAGCGACGAGTCCGGCTCAGAGGAACGCGAGTTCCCCGGCGGCCCGAGCGGCCTGTTCGGCGCGTGAGTGTGTGTGTGTGTGTGTGTTTACAGTTCAGTCCTGATGGACAAGTGTGTGTGTGTGTGTGTGTGTGTGTGTGTTTGTTTACTGTTTATAGTTCAGTCCTGATGGACAAGTGTGTGTGTGTGTGTGTGTGTGTGTGTGTGTGTGTGTGTGTGTGTGTGTGTGTGTGTGTGTGTGTGTTTGTTTACTGTTTATAGTTCAGTCCTGATGGACAAGTGTGTGTGTGTGTGTTTGTTTACTGTTTATAGTTCAGTCCTGATGGACAAGTGTGTGTGTGTGTGTGTGTGTGTGTGTTGTTTACTGTTTATAGTTCAGTCCTGATGGTCAAGTGTGTGTCTGTCTGCATAAGTCCAGTGCAGTGCTGCTCTCTCTGTTATCCTCTCTGTGTATGTGTGTTTCTCTCTCTCTCTCTCTCTCTCTCTCTCTCTCTCTCTCTCTCTCTCTCTCTCTCTCTCTCTCTCTCTCTCTCTCTCTGTGTGTGTGTGTGTGTGTGCAGGGGTTCAGTGCAGTGCTGCTTTCTCAGTTATGCTCTCTGTATTTAACTCTGTGTGTGTGTGTGTGTGTGCAGGGGTTCAGTGCAGTGCTGCTGTCTCTGTTATCCTCTCTGTGTGTAATACTCTCTCTCTCTGTGTGTGTGTGCAGGAGTTCAGTGCAGTGCTGCTCTCTCTGTTATCCTCTGTGTGTGTTTATCCTGCTGGCCGCCTGCATCATGGCGTGTGCTGGACTCATCTGGATGCAGATCGCACTCAAAGAGGACCTGGACTCCCTGAAGGAGAAGATCCGCACCAGTACGTCCCCGTCTGACCGCACAACACACACTGAGTCTGAGTGAGACAGTCTGACCGTGGGTCTGACCGCAAGCCTGAGTGAGTCTGACCGCGAGCCTGAGTGAGTCTGACCGAGTCTGACTGTGAGCCTGAGTGAGTCTGACCGAAGAGCCTGAGTGAGTCTGACCGCAAGCCTGAGTGGGTCTGGGTGAGTCTGAGTGAGTCTAACCGAGTCTGACCGAGTCTGACTGTGAGCCTGAGTGAGTCTGACCGCAAGCCTGAGTGGGTCTGGGTGAGTCTGACCGAGTCTGACTGTGAGCCTGAGTGAGTCTGACCGAGTCTGACTGCGAGCCTGAGTGAGTCTGACCGCGAGCCTGAGTGAGTCTGACCGCGAGCCTGAGTGAGTCTGATAACGAGCCTGAGTGAGTCTGATAGCGAGCCTGAGTGAGTCTGATAACGAGCCTGAGTGAGTCTGACCGCGAGCCTGAGTGAGTCTGACTGCGAGCCTGAGTGAGTCTGATAACGAGCCTGAGTGAGTCTGATAGCGAGCCTGAGTGAGTCTGATAACGAGCCTGAGTGAGTCTGACCGTGAGCCTGAGTGAGTCTGACCGAGTCTGACTGCGAGCCTGAGTGAGTCTGACCGCGAGCCTGAGTGAGTCTGACCGCGAGCCTGAGTAAGTCTGACTGTGAGCCTGAGTGAGTCTGACTGTGAGCCTGAGTGAGTCTGACCGTGAGCCTGAGTGAGTCTGACCGCGAGCCTGAGTGAGTCTGACCGAGTCTGACCGCGAGCCTGAGTGAGTCTGATAACGAGCCTGAGTGAGTCTGATAGCGAGCCTGAGTGAGTCTGATAACGAGCCTGAGTGAGTCTGATAACGAGCCTGAGTGAGTCTGATAGCGAGCCTGAGTGAGTCTGATAACGAGCCTGAGTGAGTCTGATAGCGAGCCTGAGTGAGTCTGATAACGAGCCTGAGTGAGTCTGATAGCGAGCCTGAGTGAGTCTGATAACGAGCCTGAGTGAGTCTGATAGCGAGCCTGAGTGAGTCTGACCGCGAGCCTGAGTGGGTCTGACCGAGTCTGACTGCGAGTCTGAGTGAGTCTGATAACGAGCCTGAGTGAGTCTGATAACGAGCCTGAGTGAGTCTGATAACGAGCCTGAGTGAGTCTGATAGCGAGCCTGAGTGAGTCTGATAGCGAGCCTGAGTGAGTCTGATAACGAGCCTGAGTGAGTCTGATAACGAGCCTGAGTGAGTCTGATAGCGAGCCTGAGTGAGTCTGATAACGAGCCTGAGTGAGTCTGATAACGAGCCTGAGTGAGTCTGATAGCGAGCCTGAGTGAGTCTGATAACGAGCCTGAGTGAGTCTGATAGCGAGCCTGAGTGAGTCTGATAACGAGCCTGAGTGAGTCTGATAGCGAGCCTGAGTGAGTCTGATAACGAGCCTGAGTGAGTCTGATAACGAGCCTGAGTGAGTCTGATGGCGAGCCTGAGTGAGTCTGATAACGAGCCTGAGTGAGTCTGATAGCGAGCCTGAGTGAGTCTGACCGCGAGCCTGAGTGGGTCTGACCGAGTCTGACTGCGAGCCTGAGTGAGTCTGACTGCGAGTCTGAGTGAGTCTGATAGCGAGCCTGAGTGAGTCTGATAACGAGCCTGAGTGAGTCTGATAACGAGCCTGAGTGAGTCTGACTGCGAGCCTGAGTGAGTCTGATAACGAGCCTGAGTGAGCCTGACTGCAAGCCTGAGTGAGTCTGAGTCCGATTGAGTGAGCCTGACTCTTAGTTGGAGCTTGAATGCACAAGACACACTGAGTCAGAGTCCGGCACCCATTGTTCCACAGAATACAGCCTCGCTCTTCATTATCATGAGGGTCTTCAGCACCGGAGGAACCTTTTCATAGTTGGTGGAAGTTCCCAGTTTTTGGCGTGTTTGTACCGCAGGAGCTAGGAGTGATTTTAGCTCTAGGATCTCATTTTCGGAGGAACTATTTTACTCCCACTTTAGAGTCGGCCTAACCCTAATCCATTCAATACAAAATGAATATGTCTCATATTTTTAAATCAAGTAATCAGATATTTGCTTTGTTGTTCATTAGAAACACACCAGGCATTGTCATATTACACAATAAATGATTAGCAGTGTTTGATGTTCTGCTGTGTGTGTGTGTGTAGTGGACAGCAGTCAGAAGCTGTCGTCGCACGAGATCCTGACGCTCAGTGAAGAGCTGAAGGCTGGACAGATGAAGCTGGAGGACATGGAGAGCGGAGAGAGAGGCCTGGTCAAGCTCTGGTCCAACCTGACCGACATCAGCCAGAAGGTGTGTGTGTGTGTGTGTGTGCGGGACAGGGTCAGAGGTGCAGCTGGTGATCTCTGACTCATGATGAAACTCCTCATGATCTCGGTAGCAGCAGCATTGTAAATGTGTGTGTGTGTCCTGCAGCTCAGCGCTCTGGATTCAGCTGTCAATCATCTGAAGGCCAACATCAAGTCCTCCTCGGATCTGCTGGCTCTTCCCAGGAGTGTGGAGGAGCTGCAGAAGGTGCGCCGCTGTTCATATCAGCGTGTGTGTGTGTGTGTTTGTGCAGACGTGACTCACAGCGGTGTGTGTGTGTGTGTGTGTGCAGAGCGTGGCCTCCATTGGCAGCACCGTCACCAGCCTCCAGCATGATGTCACCATGATACAGACTGTGCAGGACGAGCGAAGAGAAGCACAGGATCAGCTCAAAGACACCACGGTGCGTGACACACTCATACACACTCAAACACACGTACATTTCTGGGTGAATGATCTCGTACTCACAAACAAATGTTATGACAGCCCAAAGCAGCCAGTCTCATGGAGATGTCCGTGGTTCTGCTGTGAGAGTGATGGTGTTGATGTGTGTGTGTGCGTCTGATGTGTGTAAACGCCTTGTTTCATTTCTGTCCTTAAAGATTGGAGGGATCCCGGTGAACGACAGCAGCTGGACAGCACTGAAGCAGGTAACACACACACACACACACACACACAGACAGACAGTGCTGGATGTTGTGATCATGGCTGCTCTCTTCTGCTAATGCTGACTCCGCCCACAAGCTCCTCCCACTGGCAGTCAACAGTGATTGATTTGTCGTGTCTCGTAGTGTGATGTTATGTAAATGCATGTTATTAACACAGTTCAGGAGGAACATGTTCTAATGATCTATCCCATCAGCAGCACTATATACTGTGTGTGTGTGTGCAGGACGTGCAGTGTGTTCAGGACGGAGTGAGCGAGTTGAACAGCTCTCTGCTGCTCCATCAGTCCTGGTGCCGTGAGCAGATCCAGAGCGTCCACTTCCTGCTGTCCAACCTGAGCCGCTGGGTGTCTGTGCTGGAGTCAGGAGCAGAGGTGAACACACACACACACACACACACACTGACCAACTCTTTACTCATAACCTACCTTAAGCTTCACTGCAGTTCATTTCACAGTCAAAACACAGTAAAACTATCAAAACACCTCAAATTAAGTCATTCTTCCAGAATCACCCAATAAACACACCTTGTGTTTCTCTCTCTCTCTCAGCCGTCGACAGCACCGGCCGGCCGTCAGCTCCAGAGCAGCGCAGACGCAGGTGTGTACCACTTCACACACACTCACGCTGACACACACACAGACCCGATCACGAGTGTGTGTGTGTGTGTGTGTTTCAGGTTCCCCCCCGCCCCGCCGGCCCAGGTCTCCCAGGTCTCTGTCCCCCAGGCGGCTCAGAAGAGGACGGGCCGTGACGTTCCCCGTGACAGGTGTGCATTTTGTCATAGTAATTGAACCTCACTGCAGAACATGAAATCCACGGGGAGGAGTCGGATCCAGATCCAACTCCTCCCACCTTACATATACCTAAACCTACCCAGCCCCACCCCCTGATCCCTAACCCCAACCCCTAAACCTACCCAGCTCCTCCCTGATCCCTAACCCAGCCCCCACCCCCTGATCCCTAACCCACCCCTAAACCTACCCAGCTCCACCCCCTGATTCCTAACCCCACCCCCTAAACCTACCCAGCTCCTCCCCTGATCCCTAACCCCACCGCCTAAACCTTCCCAGCTCCACCTCTCAGATCTGGATCCGACTCCGCCCCCTGGATCTTGTGTACTGCAATGAGGTGCTACTGCCTCACACTAGTCCACTGAAGGAGTCACACTGCCCCACGTACTACACTCATGTCTCATTGCCCTCTATCAGAATCCAGAGTTTTGAGAAGATTGGAGAAACTTTATTTTTCGCCCGAAAAAAAAAAAAAACGAAAGGGGTACCACTGTCGTTTTTTTTTTTTGGGGTCGAATTTTTGAGTTTCGATATCTCAGCTCTGGAAGGGTCTAGAGCCTCCATTTTTGCACTCAGGTCTAAGTCTCATTGCCCTCTATCAGAATCCAGAGTTTTGAGAAGATTGGAGAAACTTTATTTTTCGCCCGAAAAAAAAAAAAAACGAAAGGGGTACCACTGTCGTTTTTTTTTTCGGGTCGAATTTTTGAGTTTCGATATCTCAGCTCTGGAAGGGTCTAGAGCCTCCATTTTTGCACTCAGGTCTAAGTCTCATGGCCCTCTATCAGAATCCAGAGTTTTGAGAAGATTGGAGAACCTTAATTTTTCGCCCGAAAAAAAAAAAAAACAAAAGGGGTACCACTGTCGTTTTTTTTTTCGGGTCGAATTTTTGAGTTTCGATATCTCAGCTCTGGAAGGGTCTAGAGCCTCCATTTTTGCACTCAGGTCTAAGTCTCATGGCCCTCTATCAGAATCCAGAGTTTTGAGAAGATTGGAGAAACTTAATTTTTCGCCCGAAAAAAAAAAAAAACAAAAGGGGTACCACTGTCGTTTTTTTTTTCGGGTCGAATTTTTGAGTTTCGATATCTCAGCTCTGGAAGGGTCTAGAGCCTCCATTTTTGCACTCAGGTCTAAGTCTCATGGCCCTCTATAAGAATCCAGAGTTTTGAGAAGATTGGAGAAACTTAATTTTTCGCCCGAAAAAAAAAAACGAAAGGGGTACCACTGTCGTTTTTTTTTTCGGGTCGAATTTTTGAGTTTCGATATCTCAGCTCTGGAAGGGTCTAGAGCCTCCATTTTTGCACTCAGGTCTAAGTCTCATGGCCCTCTATCAGAATCCAGAGTTTTGAGAAGATTGGAAACCTTAATTTTTCGCCCGAAAAAAAAAAAACAAAAGGGGTACCACTGTCGTTTTTTTTTTTTCGGGTCGAATTTTTGAGTTTCGATATCTCAGCTCTGGAAGGGTCTAGAGCCTCCATTTTTGCACTCAGGTCTAAGTCTCATGGCCCTCTATAAGAATCCAGAGTTTTGAGAAGATTGGAGAACCTTAATTTTTCGCCCGAAAACAAAAAAAACAAAAGGGGTACCACTGTCGTTTTTTTTTTCGGGTCGAATTTTTGAGTTTCGATATCTCAGCTCTGGAAGGGTCTAGAGCCTCCATTTTTGCACTCAGGTCTAAGTCTCATGGCCCTCTATCAGAATCCAGAGTTTTGAGAAGATTGGAGAACCTTAATTTTTCGCCCGAAAAAAAAAAAAAACAAAAGGGGTACCACTGTCGTTTTTTTTTTCGGGTCGAATTTTTGAGTTTCGATATCTCAGCTCTGGAAGGGTCTAGAGCCTCCATTTTTGCACTCAGGTCTAAGTCTCATGGCCCTCTATCAGAATCCAGAGTTTTGAGAAGATTGGAGAAACTTAATTTTTCGCCCAAAAAAAAAAAAAAAACTGTCGTTTTTTTTTTCGGGTCGAATTTTTGAGTTTCGATATCTCAGCTCTGGAAGGGTCTAGAGCCTCCATTTTTGCACTCAGGTCTAAGTCTCATGGCCCTCTATCAGAATCCAGAGTTTTGAGAAGATTGGAGAAACTTAATTTTTCGCCCGAAAAAAAAAAAAAACGAAAGGGGTACCACTGTCGTTTTTTTTTCGGGTCGAATTTTTGAGTTTCGATATCTCAGCTCTGGAAGGGTCTAGAGCCTCCATTTTTGCACTCAGGTCTAAGTCTCATGGCCCTCTATCAGAATCCAGAGTTTTGAGAAGATTGGAGAAACTTAATTTTTCGCCCGAAAAAAAAAAAAACAAAAGGGGTACCACTGTCGTTTTTTTTTTCGGGTCGAATTTTGAGTTTCGATATCTCAGCTCTGGAAGGGTCTAGAGCCTCCATTTTTGCACTCAGGTCTAAGTCTCATGGCCCTCTATCAGAATCCAGAGTTTTGAGAAGATTGGAGAAACTTAATTTTTCGCCCAAAAAAAAAAAACAAGGGGTACCACTGTCGTTTTTTTTTTCGGGTCGAAATTTTGAGTTTCGATATCTCAGCTCTGGAAGGGTCTAGAGCCTCCATTTTTGCACTCAGGTCTAAGTCTCATGGCCCTCTATCAGAATCCAGAGTTTTGAGAAGATTGGAGAAACTTAATTTTTCGCCCAAAAAAAAAAAAAACGAAAGGGGTACCACTGTCGTTTTTTTTTTTCGGGTCGAATTTTTGAGTTTCGATATCTCAGCTCTGGAAGGGTCTAGAGCCTCCATTTTTGCACTCAGGTCTAAGTCTCATGGCCCTCTATCAGAATCCAGAGTTTTGAGAAGATTGGAGAAACTTAATTTTTCGCCCGAAAAAAAAAAAACGTAAGGGGTACCACTGTCGTTTTTTTTTCGGGTCGAATTTTGAGTTTCGATATCTCAGCTCTGGAAGGGTCTAGAGCCTCCATTTTTGCACTCAGGTCTAAGTCTCATGGCCCTCTATCAGAATCCAGAGTTTTGAGAAGATTGGAGAAACTTAATTTTTCGCCCGAAAAAAAAAAACGTAAGGGGTACCACTGTCGTTTTTTTTTTCGGGTCGAATTTTTGAGTTTCGATATCTCAGCTCTGGAAGGGTCTAGAGCCTCCATTTTTGCACTCAGGTCTAAGTCTCATGGCCCTCTATCAGAATCCAGAGTTTTGAGAAGATTGGAGAAACTTAATTTTTCGCCCGAAAAAAAAAAAAACGTAAGGGGTACCACTGTCGTTTTTTTTTTCGGGTCGAATTTTTGAGTTTCGATATCTCAGCTCTGGAAGGGTCTAGAGCCTCCATTTTTGCACTCAGGTCTAAGTCTCATGGCCCTCTATCAGAATCCAGAGTTTTGAGAAGATTGGAGAAACTTAATTTTTCGCCCGAAAAAAAAAAACGAAAGGGGTACCACTGTCGTTTTTTTTTCGGGTCGAATTTTTGAGTTTCGATATCTCAGCTCTGGAAGGGTCTAGAGCCTCCATTTTTGCACTCAGGTCTAAGTCTCATGGCCCTCTATCAGAATCCAGAGTTTTGAGAAGATTGGAGAAACTTAATTTTTCGCCCAAAAAAAAAAAAAAAAAGGGGTACCACTGTCGTTTTTTTTTTCGGGTCGAATTTTTGAGTTTCGATATCTCAGCTCTGGAAGGGTCTAGAGCCTCCATTTTTGCACTCAGGTCTAAGTCTCATGGCCCTCTATCAGAATCCAGAGTTTTGAGAAGATTGGAGAAACTTAATTTTTCGCCCAAAAAAAAAAAAACGTAAGGGGTACCACTGTCGTTTTTTTTTCGGGTCGAATTTTTGAGTTTCGATATCTCAGCTCTGGAAGGGTCTAGAGCCTCCATTTTTGCACTCAGGTCTAAGTCTCATGGCCCTCTATCAGAATCCAGAGTTTTGAGAAGATTGGAGAAACTTAATTTTTCGCCCGAAAAAAAAAAAACGTAAGGGGTACCACTGTCGTTTTTTTTTTCGGGTCGAATTTTTGAGTTTCGATATCTCAGCTCTGGAAGGGTCTAGAGCCTCCATTTTTGCACTCAGGTCTAAGTCTCATGGCCCTCTATCAGAATCCAGAGTTTTGAGAAGATTGGAGAAACTTAATTTTTCGCCCGAAAAAAAAAAAAACGTAAGGGGTACCACTGTCGTTTTTTTTTTCGGGTCGAATTTTTGAGTTTCGATATCTCAGCTCTGGAAGGGTCTAGAGCCTCCATTTTTGCACTCAGGTCTAAGTCTCATGGCCCTCTATCAGAATCCAGAGTTTTGAGAAGATTGGAGAAACTTAATTTTTCGCCCAAAAAAAAAAAAACGTAAGGGGTACCACTGTCGTTTTTTTTTTCGGGTCGAATTTTTGAGTTTCGATATCTCAGCTCTGGAAGGGTCTAGAGCCTCCATTTTTGCACTCAGGTCTAAGTCTCATGGCCCTCTATCAGAATCCAGAGTTTTGAGAAGATTGGAGAAACTTAATTTTTCGCCCGAAAAAAAAAAACGTAAGGGGTACCACTGTCGTTTTTTTTTTCGGGTCGAATTTTTGAGTTTCGATATCTCAGCTCTGGAAGGGTCTAGAGCCTCCATTTTTGCACTCAGGTCTAAGTCTCATGGCCCTCTATCAGAATCCAGAGTTTTGAGAAGATTGGAGAAACTTAATTTTTCGCCCAAAAAAAAAAAAACGTAAGGGGTACCACTGTCGTTTTTTTTTCGGGTCGAATTTTTGAGTTTCGATATCTCAGCTCTGGAAGGGTCTAGAGCCTCCATTTTTGCACTCAGGTCTAAGTCTCATGGCCCTCTATCAGAATCCAGAGTTTTGAGAAGATTGGAGAAACTTAATTTTTCGCCCAAAAAAAAAAAACGTAAGGGGTACCACTGTCGTTTTTTTTTTCGGGTCGAATTTTTGAGTTTCGATATCTCAGCTCTGGAAGGGTCTAGAGCCTCCATTTTTGCACTCAGGTCTAAGTCTCATGGCCCTCTATCAGAATCCAGAGTTTTGAGAAGATTGGAGAAACTTAATTTTT